GTTTGTTTTATTCAAAAGTTGCTGCTGTTGTTTATGTTTTTGGAACCAAATTCCACAAACAATTGGTGGTAATTCTTGGGTTAATATTTTTGATTGATTAATTTGATTATCATCATCATTATCATCATTTACGATTTTCAATCAAAAAAAAATAATCAATCAGAATCTTCAAAAAAAAATCAATTCAAAAAATTCTTGACCCAAAAAAAAAAAAATCTTGCTATATTTACAATAGGATTTTTATTTTCCACTAAAAAACTAAAATCATTTCAGCTTTATGTTTGAGTGAAATAATTACACACACACACACACACACACACTGGTAAAAACAGATTCTTGTTATTGTTGATTGCCTGCTGATGGCCTAATGTTTGATTGTCTTATTATTGATTGTGTAGCTAATCGGTTAAATGGTATTGGCAATTCGAATGACGAAACGAAACGAAAAGAAAAAAACTCATGTGATCCATAATAAAAATCATATTTCTCTCATATGGTCAAAAAAGGCCACTCACAATCATCATTATTATCATTGTTATTAAGGTGAAAAAAAGGGAAGTGGCCACCACAATCGTATAACAAAAAATAAAAATCGAAAATCCTTATTTACGATTACGAATGCTTAGTAAACATGTCCGAGTGTGAGATTACATACATACACACACACACAGACGGTGAAAACATTTATTAAAATTACAAGTTTTTTTTCATTCAAAGCCGCAAAAGGAAGTACCCAAAAAAAAAAAAAATTCATATGATGATGTCTATGATGACCATCAAGCTAGGCCAACAACAGCAACGACAACAACAACAGTAACCAATTGAACCCAGAAAGTCCATTTAAATTTCTTTGTCGTCACAAAATGTTGTGATTTAAAAAAAAAACGCACAGCACAAAAAAATAACCAAAAAAAAAAAAAAAAACGAAGACAACCAATCACAGAATGCCTGAAGCCATCGACACTTATTCATTTTAATCGTCATCATCATTTTTTTGGTCGTCGTCGTCGTCTTCGTCCTCGTCGTCGTTCGTCGTCGTTCGTCAAGAAAAAAAAAAAACGAAAGAATGAACGATTCGGGTAAAAAGAAAAACAAAAATTTTTGTTCGTCGTGGCCATAGGTATTTATTTATTTATTTTTTCTTCTTGTTCTTCCATTACTTGGAATTTGTTTTTTCTTCTTTCAATTTTTTTTTTTTCACTTCATTTAGTTTCGCTCACCCATAGATAGATGTATATTCACGATCATTACACTTACAAAAGTTTCATTTCATTTCATTTCATTCTTGAGATTTTTTTTTTTACTTCTCTTTTTCGCTGCTCTTGCTTTTTCTTCACATTACCAAAATATCATCGACCATATTCCATTCGTATCGGTGTTATAAACGCTCATCGACCTCTTAACCGACTAATATGATGATGATGATGATGATGTGTACAGATTGAAATTCAAAGAGAAAGAAGAAAAAAAAATTTCGATGATGATGTTAATGATGGTCATAGACATCATCATCATTTTGATAAATAAATACCGCAATTTAATGATAAATTTTTCGACGATCAAATAGCAAAATAAAGGTGTGTATACGTCGATGATGATGATCATATTACGATGGCGACAACAATTTTTTTTGAACTAACTAACGAAAATTCCATTGATGAAAAAAACACCGACAGAAATCGTCTCCGAATTCCGTTAACCGTTATCAGATGATTTGGAATTTTAATTTTTATTTTTTTTTCGTTATAATCAATTTGAATATTCACCATTTCCATAATTGTGCCCCTAATCTGCAAGATAAACTGGTGAAAAAAAAACATTAATCAACCGAGCGACAATGGTAGAAAAATTTTTTCTCTTACCAAATTATAATTACGGTAGTCCAAAAGAAACAACGGGCTTGTTCGCATTTTTGATGATGATGATGATCAGGTTCAATTGATGGCCAACACCACCATTACCAAAAAAACCGACATAATCACAAATCATTTTCGACTCAATCAATGATGATGATGATGATCATCGTCCTTTTTTTTCGTCTATCGCGTATTTTAAGATGATGATAATAACAAAACAAACACACCACCATACAAGCAATTTTTCAATTTCAATGCATATACACACACACATATATTAGCTAGCACGAGCATTCAATTGTGTATATTATTGCATTGCAAGAAGAAAAACGATTTTTGAAGATTACCTCCAGAGACAGTTCCCACGACCAGTTTCGAACTGATCGAATGATCATCATCACCATCATTTTGGTATTTAGCATTTGTCCATCTTATTATTGCTTATTGATTCAACACAAACACACAGAGAGAGAGGGAGAGAGACGATTAATAATGATGTTGATGAACATTGTTGTTGTTGTTGTTGTTTCAATTCGTAAAATGTTTTTTTTTTTTTTGGGTTTACGAACCGTTTTTTTTGGAAATTGTTTTCAATTAATCGCTATATTGCCGCCAATGTCTATGTTGTTGTTGTTTGTTTGATTTTTTTTTGTAAAAACATACAGTTTGATCTTGAAGAATTTTTTTCACTCACCTGCTACTGCTAGTGCTACTTTACAATTTTCTTTTTTTTTGTCGATCAAATTTTAATTTGCCTTCTAGGCACATTTATTTGTCTAATCTATTACTAACACACACAAAAAAAGAAAGAAATGAAAGAAATGAAAACGAGAATGGTAGTTGGTTTTTTTTCTCAATGAAAGCCAAAAATGTATACGACAATATATGATCCAGAATCAAGATTAAGCATCACCGTTTGACATTTGTCAACATTTACTGACAAGGAAAAAAACAACAACAACAACAGAAGCAAGATATTAGAGAGAACTATTATCACCAGAAAAAAAAAAATCTTGACTCTCACCTGTTGCCTGGATGATGATGATATTCAAGTAGCTACCAGATTTTTTTTTTTCTTTTTCAAAAAGTGCAAATGTCTAGGTTCAAATGTCACACACACACACACACACACAATAGAATTTTGTGTGTTTGCAAAAAAAAGACCCCCTAAAGTTTGATCATTTATCTTTTTTACGTTTTTTTTTTTTGGTAATATTCTATAAATATATGAATCAAAAAGAAGAAGAAAAAAAACACGTGTGTTTCAAATTTTATTTGATCATCGTTGTTGTTCAATCTGAAAATAAAAGTTTTGTCCAATGTTCAACAATGGTAATCAAATTATGATCAATAATGACAAATATGAAAAGGTAGCAATGTTAAACATCATCATGTGATCAAAGTCGATGACATGAACGATGAATTTTTTTTGTCTCTTTTTACATTCCATAATTTTGAATATTCAGTTCTATTTGTGTGTGTGTGTGTGTGTTTATGGGGGTAGCATTATGAACTTGCGCGTACAAATTTGTGATATTTTCCCATGGATTTTTTTTGCTGGGTTATTGTTCTTTACTATTGATGATGATGATCATCATCATCATGTCGTTAACCAAAAGAGACATTGAATTCATTCATAAATTCCACAATCAATAAAGATTTTTTTTTCTAGTTCTCAGTAAATCACACTCACACACACACACGAAAAAAATATTTGATCATGATTCACACTTTTGTGAAAAGTATACATTGATAGATCGAATAGTTTGGACAGTGACGATTATTGCAAAAAAACATTGTTATTTCAATGACACACACACACACACACAATGGTCATTGATATTTGATAAAAAAAATTTCCATCAAATACAATACGATATATGATGATTATTTCATCAAACAGTTTGATTTAAATTATATGCCAAACGATGAAATTCCAAAGTTTTTTGTTGTTGTTGTTGTTATTGAGAGGAGAGTAAAGATTTGTTTATTTATTTATTTATTTGGCTAAACTTGTCAAATCCTGATAATAGTGATGATGATGATGATGATGATGACATGAAAGACTTATTATTATTATCTGTGTGTCTGTGTGTGTGTTTGCCTTGCCAAAATTCTTCAAGTTTCACTTTATTTTGTTATTATTATTCTCACAAATTATAATCATCATCATCATCATCATCGATGGTTTCGTTTTTTTTTACCCAGAATTTAAAATTGAAAATGATCAACTATTTACTGTTCTATTCATGTGTTCCAATAAACATTCAAAAAATTGTCTTTGATTATCAATCAACTCAAAGTCAAGGTCTCTTAATTGTTTCGGTGGCCGAAATCTGATCGAATTTTTTTTTCGTTTAAAAAAAAATACCAATAAAAGGGCCTGAAAAATTTGTTCCCAAAACTTGAATCAATATACAATTTTTTTTCTTTGGTCTGATATTCAGCCATGTTTTTTCGTTTTTTGTTGTTGTTGTTGTTGTTGTTGTTCATGTTCAGGAATGTAATGGAATGGGGTGGCCAAAAATACATTAAAGATAGACTAAGAAAAAAAAAACCAAAACGATTCTGCGCAAGCTAGTCCCTTTTTGGATTAGTATAGTTGTAAAATATATCGACACTTGTTGAATATATATTTTTTATATATTGAATTGAGTCGATTCGTTCGTTGATTCAAGTTGAGTCGATCACTCCCCTCATTTCTAAATCTTGGTTGAGAAAACTTTAGCATAGTTTCCAATAGTTTCACCACACCACCACCACCACCACCACCACCATGGCCACCACCATGGCCACCACCTTGCATGCTAGACACTTGTTGTTGAATGCTGGTACACACACACACATAACGACAGACGAATTTTTTTGTTGTTGTTGTTATTCACCACCAAAAGACATACACACTGATGATGGTAGTGTTTCATTCTTTCATTCATTTAAGTAAATGGTGCTTTGATTTTTTTTTTTTTGATTGATTGATTTCACAATTCTTTCAATTCAGTCGAGAATAGACGCTCGACTAGATTGGACATCATCATGATGGTATATATCATGTCAAATTGTCATTTTTTTCAATGAAAAAAAATGATCATTTTCTACAATTTGAATTTGTTTACCGAAAACATCGATAATGGAATAAGTGTGTGTTTGTGATCAAGTTTTTTAAATTTGTTGTTATTGCCAACCTACATTTTCTTGTCATTCATTGTTTATCGGATCGAAAAGATTCTCCATTATTTCCTATTTTCATAATTAAATACCTGTCATTGATTGATTATGGAATTATTGTGCATTGAACAAGAATATGAACCAATCGCTCTATTCGATTCGGTCATTGTTGATGATGATCGAACATTAACAAATTTAATATTCACTGAAGAACATTATCTAATAACCGGATCATATTTCAAATGTTTACAAACCGAACTAAATACCAATAACCGAAGTGAATTGGCATCATGGATGCTTGAGGTATGTTTGTCTGTCTGTCTATCGTGTTTTGTGTATGTGTGCGAGTGTGTGTTTTATTTGATTTTAGCCATCTTTATCTACAAATGCAAATGTTTTTTTTTCTCCATTCCTTTTCCATTTTAATGAAAAAAAAATCAGGTTTGTGAAGCCGAACAATGTCAAAGCGAAATATTTCCATTGGCAATGAATATATTAGATCGTTTTTTAGCATTGGTCAAACTAAGAAAAGGTCAATTACAATTACTTGGTTCGGTTTGTCTATTTATTGCATCAAAATTACGGCAATCAAAAACGATATCACCACAGAAACTTATCTATTACACTGATTGGTCGATAACATTGAATGAATTGACTGTATGTTTTTTTTTTTGTGGATTTACATTTAAATTTGTTTCAATCATTTTGTTTCGTTCATGAAAAAAAAGGATTGGGAAATTCTTGTACTTAGTAAACTAAAATGGGATGTAGCCGCCGTAACACCAAATGATTTTGTCGATCCATTATTACGTCGTTTATGTAAATATTCAACATTAATTGATGAACATCAGAATCGTATACGTAAACAAACAATGAATATGATTGACCTATGTTCACTTGGTAAGTAGAATGATTTTTTTTTCGATTTAATTTGACCTTGTCTCGTCTTGATGATTGTTTATTTGTTGTCGATTGTCTCCAAGATTAATTTACCTATATATGAATATATATCATACAGACATGTGAAAGTTTGTTTTTTTTTTTGCTATTCAATCTAAGATTTTTTTCGTGCATATCTAGGTCTTGGTTTATATTTTGACCATCATAGTTATATTGAATAAATTGTTTTTCATTTTTCTTTATTCATTCAATGCTGTTATGGGTCCAATTTATTTTTTTTTCTCATTTATAAACAAAATAATAACACAACAGCAATTAGCTATATATAGCTAGTAATTCAATGTACAAGTGGTGCACATTGTTGTAATTATGAAACAATCTGTGTGTGTGTGTGTGTGTGTGTGTGTGTGTGTGTGTGTGTGTGTGTGTGTGTGTGTGTGTGTGTGTGTGTGTGTGTGTGTGTGTGTGTGTGTGTGTGTGTGTGTGTGTGAATGTTTATAATAAGGTATTAGTTGGTGAAATATTGGATATACCAATTAATGATGATGATGATGATGATGATGATCTTAATCAACAATTTTCTTTTCTCCACTCATTTTCATTCAATAATGAGATAATGATTATTTCTTTGAATTGTTAACCTTTGATTTGTTTGGTTGAGAATTTTGTGATTTTATTTCTTACATACATGGACATGCAGTATGAAATGAAAATGGCTTGTCATAGCACAGACACACACACATACACATCAAATTCTGACGTTCAGTTAATAATTTTTTTTTTTTGACTTTGGGCCATTTTGACACCTCTCTATTTTGTTAGATTCTATGGAAAATTGTTATAATATTCGCAGAATTATGTCTATTTATTGTGTGTTCCAATAATGTGTGTGTGTGTGTGTGTGTGTGTGTGTATGTGTAGAGAGAGGAAGAAAATTTTTTTTTCTCATTTTGAAAATCTATCAAACGGTGCGAAATTCGCGCCTACCACCTACTGATTTTGTTCAAAAATTTTCATTTTCATTTCTCTCTCTCCCTCTCTCTCTCTCTCTCGATTCGTGTCTCATCATCATCATCATGTGTAAAATGTATGTTTGTGAAAAGATCAAGATCAATTTGTAGGAATTACAGACACATACACACACACATACAGGTTGAAGGACAGGTAGATATGATGGTAGAATAGAATGTATGTCAAAAATTTCGCTCTCTCACTCTCGTTATTGGAAAAAAAATTCACCTCTTAAAGGTCGAATGGCGCCGATTGTTTTTTTTTTTTTTACTTAACGATCAAAAATCATGTGTTCAATTTTTTTAATTTATTTATTATTCAATAATAACGTTGTAATTAGACAAACAAACGGTCAAATCGAACAAATTCAATCAATCAATCTATATATGTGTATAATCAACAAAAAAAGGAAATTCTATTGGTCATGACTAAGAACTGTTTGTCTGTCTGTCTGTCTCAATTATTGTTTTTCCATGTCGTTTTTCTGTCGACAATGATCATGAACATGAACATCATGATTAATAAATAGCGACGGATCTCCTTTTTTTTTTTGATCAGAAAAAAAATCTTATGAATGAAACAAAACAAACCGACAAAGGAAATACAACATCAACATTAGAATTGAAATGAGAAAAATGAGATTAAGATTTTCTTATACATACAGATATAATCATATTCATTTCATATTTTAACCACATTTTTAATTGAATTGAAATCATCATCATTTCCGGAAAATGTAATGACATTGACACCTGAGTGACCTTTTGTTTTTGTTTTTAGTTTGTACACACACACACACACACACACACACACACATGGAAATGATAATTCTCAATATTCGTTTGATTTAATCAACGACGGCAATGTCTTACATGCAGAAAATAATCAATTTTAACAAAAAAAAGAACAAAAATCGCCTAAAGTTAAAGTGTCATATCCTGTGACATTGAAACAATTTTTCATTCATTCATTCATTTTAATCATTCGTTTAAATGAATGAATTGATTACACTGGCCACATTCTGTGGCTGTTGTTGTTGTTGTTGTTGTTGTTGTGTTGTGATGTGAACATTGAATTTGTCGGCCGTCCAAAGAAAAAAAAACAAATCCGTCTCTTTATTTCATTGTTTTTGTGGTTTTCGTTGTTGTAAACATTTAATTTTTTTTTTCATCATAACGTAAATAAAAAAAAACACAATGATGTAATCAAGGTTTTTTTTTCTTGAAAATAATTTACTTAGTTACAAATGTCAATGTCACACAATCAACATCCAATAATGATGATGATCATCGTGATCATCTTATGTCCAGTCTTGCATTTTTTTTTCATTAGTAATACACACACACACACATTGTGGCTATGCAATGATGATCATGATGATGACCAAATGTCTGTCTATCTTCAAGGTTGATTTGATTCGGCTTTGGACTTTGGTAAAGATAAAGAGAGAGAGAGAGAAAAAAAATTTTTTTTTCGCACTGATATAAAGATATCATAGCATAGTTTGATGATGGTGATTGTTGAGGCACAGATTTTTTTTTTTTTTTTTTTTTTTTTTGTATAAAATTCATACGATAACCATGACCACCTTGAAAAATTTTTTTTTTTCATTTTTCGAATGAACCGGAAAACGATATTTATTCATTCTGAATTTTTTTTTTCATTCGTCTTTACACTGTGTGTTTGGTGTCAATTTACACACACACACACACCACATGCACTTAGATTTTTGGCACACAAAGTAATAGAAATTCTTCAACATTTTTTTTTTTTTGCATCATCATCATTGGTCATCATAAATTTTAATTTAACCATATGGTCAATATATCTTATCTTAAACATAACGTTTTGTTTGAAATTTTCATCAAAATCATGAACATGCATTCTTTAGATTCTTTCTGTATGGTTTTTTTTTCATTTGGCAATTGTTTTCGGTTGCAATAAACAAATTTTTGAAAGAAATATTTTTTCTGTAATTTCATCTGAGATTGTGTGTGTTTATTGATTTCTGGAATTTTTTGCTTCTCATTCGTTCATGTGTTGAAGTTGTTTTTGATCAATGTTGACAATTGTTTTTCTTTTATTTTTTTTATATATATATACATTGGATTCTTTTACGATGGTCAGAGGTCAGTTATTTTTGTTGTTTTTGTCATTCATTCATTCTTTCTGTATCATAATCATTTTGTTCGACAATGTCAACGGTTTTCGATATATCTGTGTGTGTGTGTGTGTGTGTTTTATCGGTGTGGGAACATTCCAATGTCAATGTCGGTCCGTCGGTCGTTCGATGAATCTTAAATCTTGTATTTTTAACGAACATTGACCATCACCACCACCACCACCACTTGTTGCAATGTTCGGCAAATTTGGCTTTCTTTTTTAGTTTTCAAGTACAAGTCTCTCGTTCTCGAATTGAGAAAAAAAAATGCCAATGAAATAACTAGATCATAGTGTTGAACTTTTTATTCATAACAGTTTTTTTTAGTGGATTTTCTGCTCTCTTTCTCTCTCTCTCTCTCGTTCTCATCAATTGAGAGAAACAAAACAAAAAAAAATAGAAAATTCGGGCGGCAAAATTTTGGGTCTGCATACTCTAACTAACTAACTAACTAACTAACTCTAATCTCTAAAAGACCCAGAAAGAAAAATTTTCTTCATCTGAGAGAATGCAAAAAAAACAACGCTATTGTATTACGTTGGTTGGTTGCTTGTCATCATCGTTATCGTTGACCACCGTTGTTGTCGTCGCCATTGGATTGTTGTATGGCGGTGGTGACAGAATTTCTTTCAAAAAAATTTTTTTTTATTAATGAAAATAAATGAATGGGGTTTGAACTTTATTCATTCATTCATTCATTCAATTGAATTGAAATTTTCAATTTTCTAGAAGAAAAAAAAATGAAAACACTGATATCGTATTTATACTTTCGTGAGGGTTGATATGAATGGAATTTTTTTTTTTTTGCTTCAATCGTTGCTACCTGTCATTCCAGTTTGTTGTTGTTGTTGTTGTCCACCATATGATCAGTTTTGAATTGAAAAAAAATTTTTTCAATGTTTCTCCAGTATAGTAGATTACACTTGAAAACCGACAACAACAAAAACAACAACAACAACCAATCTCGTAGTAATGATCGGGTTTTCGGTTATTGTCAAAAAAAAAAAAAAATGAATGAATGAAAAATGAATAAACCATGAAAAGAGAAAGGTAAAAAAAATTCAAAATTGGTGGTGGTCGGATTTTCTCATGATGATTTCTTCATGTTTGTGTTTGTGTTTGTGTCTATGTATGGGTTAATGGTTTGGGCCAGTTGATAGTTGAAAGATTTGATTCGATAGTCGGTCATCATTGTTGTTGGTGTGTCGGTTGGTTGGTTGACGTGGATAAATTGATAAAAAAAATTTTTTTCATTCATAAAAATGTCAACCAGCTGGTACCAGAGTGTGTGTGTGTGTTCCGTTTTTTTTTATTTTCATTTGTTCTCTGGAATTTTTGTTTTTATGAAATCAAAAACATTTCTTCCACTTGATATAGAACCATCATCTGGAATTTTCGTTTTAGTCAAAATTGTTGTTGTTTTTTTTGAATTTGGAATTTTTGTTGTTGTTGTTGTTGTGTGTGTGTGTGTGTGTGAGTTGGTAAATTGATACTAAATAATACTTTGTCGTCAAGTCGGTATGTGTCATTTTTATTTATGTGTGTGTGTGTGTGTGTTTTAAATTACAGCTTAAATGTCACATATATTTGAATTTGACCTTTAAGTTTTTTTTTCGCTGCCCAAAAAAAACAGAGAGATTATATCAGCCAATAGTGGATGAATTTGACTAAATGGTTGGCAAGCTGGATTCAATCAGTCATCTTTTTTTCTCCTTTTTAAAAAAAAAATTATAATTAAATTCCATCGTTAAAATGCTAATTGTTTTTTTTTCGTTTATTGCCCATTTCATTCATTTTTTTCCCCGTAGATTTCAATTTCTCAATGTATCCACCATCAATGATTGCGGCGGCAAGTCTTATATCGGCCATAAATGATTTATTGAAAATGATTAAAACACATTTTGTTGTTTATCGTTCCATATCATCAAAAATACTTTATCAGCTACATGAAATGACCGGTATTGAAAAGGTAAGCATGAATTTTTTTTTTTCATTTTTGTTGTAGCTCGATATATACACAAGTTTCACTACACACACACAGTATGTTTGAATGTGTTTTTTTTTTAATTTTCGAAACCCTTTTTTTTATCTCAATTTAAAGGTTCACAAAGGTTGTGAGCATTATGTGCTTGTTCTTGATTGAATTTAGTCATTTTCAGCTAGTTTTCCATTTAATTTTTTGTTTCTAGGTGTTTTTTTTATTATTATTTCATTTTTGTCTTTTTTTTCCCAAATGTTGCTTACCAGGAAAAAAAAGTGGACCTAGACATTTCATAGGGGTAAAATCAAAGAAAAAATTTAGCACTTTAAACCTAGGCCCAATCGTACCTATAGGTATTCATTATGATTATTGTATTATTTTTCCCAGATATTCTTCATCTATTTTGGAATTGATTTATGTTTGAGTTTGAGGGTCAAAAAAAAATAACAACAACAATAGCCCATAATCGTTGTGTACATGAGACATGCAATTTTTTTTGTTTTGTTTTGTTTTTCGTGTTTGCTGTAATATGAACGAAAATATAAAATGCTTTAGACAGGAATGTCTTGTATTTGTTGTTGTTGTTGTTCTCTACCATCATCACTATTATTATGACGATGGAATGGAAAAAAACGTCAGAATTCAATAATAATAGCAGCAGCAGCAGCAGCAGCAGCGAGAAATGAACGTTATATTTTTTTTCACACTCGCATTACACACAGGTTATTATCATCATCATCATCATCAGCATACCTGTTGATTATTAAAAGACAAACAAACAAACAAACAAAACAGCAGCTTCTTGATCCAATAGTTTGATGATGATGATGATGATGAACCGAAAATCTATTTTTTTTATTTTATTTTGTTGATAAGTTTGTTTAATTTATTTTCAAACCTTCGAAAAAGATTTTTCGGAAAAAAAATTCGTGCAATAATTAGCTTTGAACAGCATCATCATCATCATCATGATCTAGTAATATGAAATTAAATTTTAGGGCAAAAGGAAAAGGCGAAAAAAACTTCAACAACGTTCCAAACACGGTCTATGGACCTTTGATCGATTGATTGATCTTCTTTTTTTCTTCATCATTATCATTATTTTCTTTACTGTAAAAAAAATTCGAGAAAACCAGTCAAGGTCTCTAATTAAATTTTTCGATTCATTTCATTACCCACTCTGTTGCTACCATTCAATTTTTTTATATTTATATTTGGAAATGTGAACATCCTTTTTCCATTTTATTTGATGAAAATAAGTCGATTTAAAACAGCAGGAGATCTTTACACTATATAGAGTGTTATTTGGTTCAGGATCGTGACAATGATTTTTTTTACCATTTCTTTAGTGTTTTTCAACAAGGCCACGATGATAATTCCAAAGAAAATTCATTTCAGCCTCTTAAAATTTTGCTAAAGAATTTTTCTCATATGTGAAGAATCCATGGAATGTGTGTGTGTGTGTGTGTGTGCATGTTGCGTGCCTCATAACTCTATCAATCGGTATTGTTCATTATCAGATTGATAATTTGCTTTACCCACTTTTTTTCATCATTATCATATCTCCATTATCGATGATAATTGATGATGATGATGATGACCCACTGACCACGTTTTTTTCTCGACCAATTTCAAGCATAAATCCTTTTTACACTAATAACAATTTTCAAGCATTGATTTCTGACACTTTTTTTTGGAGTGTGTTTCATATTGGAACAAATATTTCTCTTCTTAATAATAATAATAATAATGTACACAGAAAATGTTCAATGGTCATTTTGAGATTTGTTGTTGTTGTTGTTGTTGGTGAAGAGTGGTCATTCTTTTTTTTTCTTCTTCTTCTTCTCAAGCAAAGACACAGCGTTGTTGTTGTTGTTGTTGTTATAATTTGGTGGAGGAGGTTATCAATGAAAAAAAAAAAAAATAAATTGCCAAGGTCCGTTTTGTGTTGTCATGTATATGTGGTGGTTAGTTGAAATAATTTATTTCTTCATCAACCAAAACACAAACCCATTAGCAATTTTTTTTTTGGATCAATCAGATGAATGGAACACTGAACAAAATGGAAAAGAAAAATTTAGGGTTGAAAGTGCCACACCCGTTCATTTTTGTATATATTGATTAAAGACCCTAGTAGGTGGGTCACACACACACACACAGAGAAACCTAAAGAGAAAGAATTTACAAAAGTCAATTTTTTGTCCTGTTTGATGATCCATAGATGAAAAAAAAAATTGAATATGCAAAACTCTGATGTGTGTGTGTCTATCTGTTTTTGCCTGTTTGTTTGTTTGTTTGTATAAAGCCGACCAACATACCCCAATAGATCAAATATAAATCATGAGCGAAAAAAATTTCTTTACATTCTGATCCAATTATCATTTTTTTTTGAGGCTCGTAATGAAAATGGGTGAAGGAAAAAAATCCCTCCAGGTTGTTGAATTATGAAAATTTTTTTTTTAAATAAGAAACCAAAATGATGATTATGTCGTTCACACACATGCACACGCATACACAGATTTATTGACTTTTTTTTCTATATATTTGAGCGATGATGATACGTGATAGTTGATCATAATTTACAAATTACCACACCGTTTTTTTTTGCCATTGAAACCGTCATCATCATCTACGGAATTTCAAACATCATCATCATCACCATCTCATCATCAAATACAGGATGAAAAAATTCCAACACAACAGAACAAAAAAGCCGGCAAATTCTTGTTGATTTTTGAATTGAATTTTCATCATCATCAACAACAACAACAACAACAATTGTTAGTAGTAGTGAAAATGTTCAAGTTCAAAATCATTCAATTAATAGATTTTTTTTTTCGTTTATCTATCTGAAAGTATGAAATACGGCTAAATAGCTATTTACATTTTAGCTCAAAATGAAAATTATTGTCTAGACACACACACACACAAAAGAAAAAAAAAATCTTACATTGCTTGGACCATGGTAGCTAGGTAGCTATTTTTTGATGATGGTCAATTGGCCTATATGCCTATGGCATCAATTATTATCATCATCATCAAATGGTTGATATGAATGATGGTTGAATTTTTCTTTTATTCAAAAAGTGAAGAAAGAAAGAAAAAAAAAGTTTCAGAAGCTATTATAAACATCACCCCAATATAATATATATATAACAAGGTTTTTTTGATGAGCCTCCTGGATATTTTTCTTTTTCTCACATTTTCATTTTTTCGACCTTAGAGCTAGCTAGGTTCAATCAATGATAATGATGATGATGATGATGATCAGTGAAGGCAAAAGGTGAGAACTTATAAGACAAAATCATCACGTTGAATTGGTGATTGGTATTTTTTTTTTTTTTTTTTTGGCCAGTATAATATAGACTAAATATTGTGTGGACCTTGTCAAAATTTTTTGGGAATTTTTTTTTTCTTTCACGTTCTATGTTTACATTAGAAGAATGTGTGTATGTGTGTATATTGTTTTTTGTTTTTTTTTTTCGTGCATAAAACATTAATGTCGAAGTTCAAAGAAATAGACAACAACAAGTGCTGTGTGATGTGTGTGTGTGTGTGGACCAGAGAAAAATGTGAAAATTTTTTTTTTCGCTCATGATGTGATTAGAAGATGATGGTAGTGATGTGTGAGGTTTGTTTGTTTGTTTGTTTGTGGTGTTTGTCTGTTGGTTGGTTGGTTGGTTGGTTAGGTTTGATGATTGGCCATATCAACCAATCAAATCAAATCATTTCACCTATAATGATATATTCCATATAGAATACATGGGTGAGATTGGTGGTGGTGTTGGCGGTGGTAATGGGTGGGGGAAAATTCCAAAAAATTTAATTCTGATTCATTGATGGTAATGATTGTTTTCATTTTCATTTTTCATTTACACCAATAAAAAAAAACTTTAGGAATTACTATTTGAATGTCATCTGCAAATCGAACAAACAATTATGATGGCTATGAAAGAAACTGATGAATCATCATCATCATCTGATTCTCATCATCATCAGCAGCAGCAGCAACAACAACAACAACAACAACAACAACAACAACAACAACATGATCATCATTATTATCATAATCGATCATTAATATCAAGTGAAAAATTATTATCATCATCATCACCAACACCAACATCGCCATCATCATCCACTTCTTCAACCAATTCATCATCATCATCATCATCATCATCATTTATAATTGATGATTGTTCAAAAGAAAATTATAATTCATCAATCAATTGTACGGATATTCATCAATATAATCATCACCATCATCAAACAATGACAAATGTTTCATCATTGATTAAACATCATCACCATCATCATCATCATCATCATCACCATCATCATCATCATCATATTCATCATCAACAACAAAATGCCAATTGTGTTCCAAATGAACGTACATCCATTGAAGTTGAATATTAAAGTATCAATTCCATTTTTTTTTCTTTTATTTGCTCAATTTTTTCTCAATCAACATACACACACACACACAATACAAAATACACCAAAGAATTAAATTGTATCAATTGAAAAAACGGAAACTCCGACCGTTATTGTGATTTAATATTTGAATTGTGATTTCTATTATTCTCTGTCGTTTTTCTTTTTTTTTTTTTTTGCCAATTACAAAATTTGATGATGCATTTAAAGCATATATATTTGCATGCAACAAAACACACTACAATAGAACAGAAAAAAAACCTGAAAATTTCCAGTGCCTTAAAAAACAATTTGATTCAGAGTACACACATTCATCAGACCAAATCAAACACACACACACACACACAAAAGACACTAGTCACCGATTAAAATTTGAAAATTTTTCATTCGAGAGGCCAAAAAAATTATTAATGTGATATATGAATTAAATAATGGAACAACAATATCGATGAAAATCTGAATCATCATCTGCCAATCTACTTAGAATCCGAATAAATCAAAATTCTCAGACATCACCTCTCTCTCTCTCTCTCTCTCTCTCTCTCTCTGCCAAATCACAAATCGCTCAATATATTTAAATATTACCTCATCATTGATTTTTCAGAAAAAAAAATCTCAAAATAGGACTTATATTCTTTTTATTATTGGCCATCCATAATGGATAAATGAATTTTTTGTTTTACCACCGCCAATTTTTGTGTTCATTCAATACAAATTAATAATCAAATCAAATCAACGTCAATCATTTAGGTTTCACAAATAATAACATATATATTGATTAGATTGCCAAATTTCAAATTTAGTGCTAATCTATAGTGTTTGGACAAAGTTAGCAGCTTCCAAATACGAATAGTAATTCATCATCATCTCCATCATCATCATCATTTTTTTTTCTACTGAAAATCAAAATCACAAAATTCCACAAACACACACACACACACTCAATTTCACCATCATCATCATATAGAAAAATTTGTTTTCTTTTTTGTTTCTTTTACTATTTCATTTATATTATATTATATTATTATTTGTTTGATGATTAAAAAAAAATTTTTTCATTAAAAAGTTGAAACATTAAAATCGTTTCCATTTCTGTAGCCACCACCACCACCACCACCATGACGACGAATACGACGACAACGTTTCAATTGTTGTGAACGTTTTTGATGTTTACGTTGTTTACGTTTAACGCCAGCCACAGTATTGGTTATCATCTATGTTTGATTCGAAATGAAATGAAAAAAAATTTTTTTTTTAATCAATTTATGGAAACAATTCCGGCTTTTTCGACAAAAATAATCACCTGTATAGCTCTCTGTTTTCGTCGTTCTAATCGTCGATGAGAAATTTGATTTCTACATTGATTATATTGATCAATAAATAATTCATTACCAACCATGTTACGAAACATTTGTAATACTTGTTTAGTTAGATTCTTTAATTCATCAATACCACCACCACCACCATCATCACCAGCACCAGTCATTGATGAATATTCATTGCCTATGGATGATCGATTATTGTTATAAACCAATGTTGATGACGATGAAATTGTTTCACGGCATAATGGTGGAAGAAATATTGGCAAATATTCTTTTAAATGTTCGTGACCAAGTTTCAAAGAAACCGCTGCCAACCATTTGATGAATAAAATTCGTTTTCTACATTCATTTGGTCTATATTTGATTTCGAATTTGGTCTCGAAAAGTAATTTTTTCACCAGCCATTCAAGTTTCTTTCTATTTTCATCATTATTTTCTATTTGTTCAACAACAACAACAATATCGTCGCCATAGTGGTCGTCACCATTTTGTTTATTATTCAGTGTATGACCATGACCACTATAGTCCATTATGATGAACACACGAGCAATGTAGATTAGATTTTTAATCAATTGTTCGGCCAAAAATTGACAGGCATAAATATCACGAAATATAAGCGAAAATTTTCTAGCTAAATTGATCATTTTGTCCTCAGGGTTTGTGAATAGAAAAAATGTCAAAATATTCATACTGACACCTGATTGTGGTGCAAATGATTCTGGATCAAACCAGGCAAATATTTGGCCAAAAATTTGTACACAAATACCACGTATCCAAACATGTGGATGAAGAAGATATGTGGAAACAATATTTGTCAATATTTTGTTCATATGATTTTGAAATTTATTTTTCATGATTAAATTTTTTGCCGTCTCTATTTTCAATAATTTAAAGATGAAATTAAAATGTTGAAATAAAAGATTATCTTCATCTTTTGCCAAATCATTATTGTCGGTAGTTTTTTCACCAGATTTCAACGATTCATAGTGGTCCGGTTCAAGCTGTTCGGCAATCAAATACAAACAACTGGACAGTCGTTTTTCAAAATCACATTTTTCCTTTTCCAAATATAATGTTAACATTTTTGAACCAAGTGTTTGTTTTGCTAATGAATCAGATCGTAGCCAAGATAAGACAAATTGTTCAAAAAATTTATCAACATTTTCTTCATCAATTTTCATTAATAATTTTCCCATTGTTTCATGAACAAGTTTCAAACATTCAATGAAATCTTCATTGATCAATCGTAATGCTAGTATGAAAAATAATTGATCACGTACCATGTTTAAAATATCACAGGATAAATTTTGTATCACATTTTTCAACATAATAATGGCCGCTTTACGTCCAGAAACATGATCCACTTCCAATTGTTTGGCCAAATTGATTAGTTTTCCTTTCAAACGATTACGATCGATAGGATAATCAGTCAAATATTTGACATACAATTCAATGGCATGATCACGAACATTATCAATATCGGTGATGATCGCCATCACCATCAATCGTTCCATTAGTTGATGTACTTCTTTTGAAATAAATTTTCTTACAATAATCGATTTAAGTAGAATATAAATGGAAATATTTTGACCATTGTTTTCAATATCATAATCAGCATATGCTAATAAAATGGCCAACTGTTGATCAGAAAGTTTACAATCAGAACGAATATTGACAAAATGTGTAATTGTTTTGAAACACAATGTTGTCATTTGTTGATTATCATCGTTAACAAGTCCAGAATATTTTTGTAATAATAAAAACAATTGTGATATTATCGATTCAGCATGTTGATCAAATGAAACAATGTCGGTGAATTTTGTCAACATTAACAATAAACAATTCAATGTTGATGATATGACTTTTAAATCATTTGATTTTCGTAAAAACATTTCTAAATGTCCCAATGTTTCATTCAAAATGTCATGATAACCAAATGATTTGATTGATTTATTATGTTTGAGTATGTATAGATAACATTCAAGAGCAAAATTCAATACCACATGCCAATGAGAATGGGAATTTATTTTCGATAATTGATTTACACGACGTAATGATTTTTCCGGTATTATAAAGCAACTATCGACCATTAATCGTTGTTTTTTGCTACTATTGATCATGCCATCATCATCATTGTTGTTATCATTCATTTCCGATTGAAAATTGATAAATGAAGATGAAATAAAAATTTCATTCAAAAATTTTAACAACATTTCAATAGACACATGTTCATTATGAACTAATCCACATCCAATACGATGAAATGCTTTTTCAATTTTTTGCATCTTTCTATGATCATTTGTATCAAACAACAATGTTTTCAATGGTTCAATCAATGATCGTAATGATGATTCTGATGTAGATCTTGCTATAATTTCATATATATCATATGCTTTAATTTTTTTAGCCTCTTTGGTTTTCGTTACAATTTGTGAGATTTCTTTTTCTTCTGATAATGATCCAAACAATTCTTCATGACATGCATGAATTAAATCCACCATACAACTGTCTAAATCACCACCATTCAATTTCGTTATGATTCGCTGTAAAAGTACATGCACTGTATATATGAAAACATGTCGTTGATAACCTCTGGATAGTAAAATTTTCATTTCATTAAAAATATTGGCAAAATATTTCGGTCCAATTACATCAAGAATCTGTGCCAATGTTTTACGTGCCAATTCACGTATACTATGTGCTTTTGATTGCAAAAATTGACATAATCGTAATATGATACTATTCAAATTGGCTAGAAAAACACGTTGATCCAGTTGTACATGTTTTAATAGTTTAACAATCGCCAATGATAGTGGTATAGTTTGTATATGATCATCATCATCATCATCATCAACAAATTTGTTCACATCATGAACATTTTCCATACGTGATTGTTGATGTAAACATCTGTGCAACATTGGTAATAATTTTCTACAAAGAGAATCATAAATTTTCTTGTAATAAAGAATATCGATGTCGTTTTTGTTGTTAGCAATAATGTTATCGCCATTCTTGTCATCATTATGATCATCATGATCATCATTATCATCATCGACAATGTTGTTGCATTTATCGTTTGAAAAATTTTCCGAACCCGTCATCATCTTATCATCACCATGATCAACATTATTGGGAGTGGTAATAATTGCATCAAATGATTCATTTTTCATGTCGTCGTCGTCGTCGCCGTTTTGATCTTTGCCGTTGCCACATTTTTTCGAAGAGTTTAACTTTATTCGTTCTTTATTGTCATTTTTTTTATTATTATTATGATTCGACATTTTTTTCTTCGTAGATAATGATTTTCGAAATGATTTACCACGACGATAATCATTTTGATGATTATATTCCAATGTAATACGTTCAAAATCATTTGACATTAATGATTTTTCAATATGTGAAACATGTTCTGGTTTTAGAAATGAAAATTTTTCCAATAAAGCTGATATAATTTTGATTGAAATTTTTGGATCAACGACATTCTTTTTGTTTGCCAATGTTGCTGCTGCTGCTGATGTTGTCGTTGACGGTGGTGGTGGTGGTGGTAATGGTGATAATAAATTATTCACATGTCGAGATAATATGGCATCATATTTGGACCATGAACAATATTGTAAAAATGTTGCCAATGATTCAACAGAAGTGTTAAATAATCCAACATTTGTTTGTTGGCCACCACCAGAAGAAGATGATGAATAGATGATTTGATTCTCAACAATTGGTATTAAAAAATTCGAATAAACACAGCTAGAAAGCGATTCAAGTAATGATTTATTCTGTAACAAACGATTCAATGCACGGGCACGACGATGTAATTGAATGTGGCGAATGTTTTGCCAAAAATCTAGTTCTTCATCATCATTATTACATAATGATAGTAATTGATCAATATAAATGTTATTCAACAAAGATGATGATGATGATGAAGAAGGTGTACGAATAATGTCCACCAATATGCCTATAAATTCAATTGAAGCTGATTCTTTTGGATTTCGAATTCCATCCGGAATGATTTTCAATAATATCATATCGATGACATATTTATTGTATAAATCGGTTAAAGGATGAATTCTGAATAATAATGTAATTTTCATTATGACTGCAGATGATGATTCTCGTATGCTCAGATCATCGAATGTATTGAGAAAGAATGCACAATTCAGTAGTAATAAATCAATAAATTTAAGCTGTGTTGATGATAATCTGGTTGGATTTTCGCATATACTATCTATATAATTGTTAATTTTATTGAATGCAGAAATTCTACAATCATAATCTGGTTCTTCAGGATATTTTGGATTGAAAGAATTCAGATCACTAATCATTTGAGCAAATGGTATGAAGGATTCATTATTTTTGCTCAAATTCAATAGATAGTTGCTGGTCAATTCTTTTCTTGGCATCGGTTTCTGTACCAAAGTGAAAAGATCATAAGATGAATTGAGAATAATTTCAAAACTTTCGTCAGATAAATTCTGTGATAGATGAGATAATATTTTAAGAATGAAAATCTCCTTATCTTCTTCAGGTCGTTTTTTACGAGATATTGATCGAATCAATAACATCATGATTGTATGTGAATCCATAGCATCGGTCACATGAAGACTAAGACGTGCCAATATATTGATTTCTTGTAATGAAAATTTTGGATTACTTTTCGAATGATAATTTAATTTTATCCGTTCGATAATATCTTTGATGTGTGGTATCAATATCAAGGAACCAAAATTGATAGATTGTTCACCACTTGGAATCAGGTGGTCAAAATTGTTAATATTTAATCGTGTGATTGGTTCATCAGCAATCAATAGATTTTCAATCAATTTCACAATAAATCCAATGGTCATTTGTGATAGTTTTGGATTCTTGAATAATTGTATAATTGACACGAGTGGTGTTGAATCTTTTTCTGAATCAAAATGTTTGATTAATAAAATAAAATAACGTGGATTTTCACTCCAAACATTGAACAATCGTAACAATGGTGAGGGATAATTTTGACTTTCGGTAGAAATATTTCCAACAAGTGGTCGAATCAATGATTCGAATAGTAAATCAATTTCAATCGGTTCAAATGGATAAGTTAGAAAATTGTTGAAAAAATATTCAGCCACTTTGAAACAATTAGTACGGAATATTTTCAATTGATCGACAATATATTCTTTGATTTTTGAACGATTTTGAATAGATAAAAGTTGTGAACAAATTGATGAACAAATCAATAAAATTTTAAACATGTATTGCATGACCATGGTAGATCGATTGCCAAAATGTTTCATCAAAAATTCCAAAGTCGTTATAAATGATTGAAAATGTTTGAATGGAATGAATGATTCAACGTTGACAAATTCTTTGTTGATTTTTTCCAATAAATCACAATAATCAGTTTGCAATAATGGATTTATTGATGCATAAACAAAATCCATAAACATTATCTGTTGGTCAGCGTTAAAATTCGATAAAATCTTCATGATCAATGAACGAACAAAATCGACTTTGCTTTTACCATGTGTTTTAGTGCCGGCCGAAGCAATCATTTTACCGATAAGGATTCGTAGAAACACTGGTACAACTTTTGGCCGATCTTCAACAACAATAACATTATCATCAACATTTTCACGAAACATGAATGAATTTATCTCCGAAACAAAGGATTTATCATCGATTAATTGTAAAAAATTTTCACGATATTTGGTCAAATGTGATTGGTTATATGTTAGTAGACAATTGAATGCATGTTTTTGACATTGTGAATTTGGTGATGACAAAAGATCTAGATAAATTTGATTCAATTGAGGTTCTTTATGTATGGCTTTTGGATTTTTGAATTTTTCAAACACATCCAGAAAAGCAAAAAATGTCTTCCAAGTCATTTTGGAATTTTCCATTTTTCTCAACGATTTGTTTTCGCCACTCATGTCAGATGAAGTGTTGGAAGAAATATTTTCACGGCTATTAGTACGACAAATATAATGATCATCAAATTCTTCGGATAAAAATCGGAAAAAAAGATCAACAAATTCGGCATTCTTTCGTTCGATAAGATTTGGGAATCGTTCAAAACACTTCAGCAACCACAATCGATGATTCAAATGATCCAGGGCAAAAATGTTTGATTTTTCGATAAATTCAATTGCAATTTTCGTTCTTGAACTCCATAAACAATCCGATTTCAATCGAGATGCTTTGATAAGTACTAAAATTTGTCGAAAATGATTAAACAAAACTTCTAGAAATCTATTCGGTTTATCCGAATTTTGTTTGGCATAAGTTTCGATAACTTCTACGATTGGTTTCCATAATACACTTAAATTTTCATACAAAGTTCCAAAAAGAAAACAAACAGGTGCCATATCGAATTTAATATCGTCCAATGGTTGCGGTAGATACAGCGATATATAAGTTGAATCCAATTTCCAAATTAATCGCAAACGTTCTCGATAGTTTTCCAGATCAACTGGTACAAATTCTGCATTCAAACATATTTGAAACACAGAAATAGCTTTAGGATTTTCTTCAGTGATGGGCACAGATAAACAATCAAACAATGTCAACAGATGGAGACAAACCAGACGATTCAATCGGCGTGGCGACGAAAGATTATGTTCAAGTAATGGATAAAGATTCGAAAATTCAGCATTCAATTCTTGGCGGAAATCTTTTGATGTGGTAGATTTATTGTAACTAACGAATAAATCCAATGCTTGTAAGACTCGTGTACAATTGGGATTTGCACTAAAAAAATGATAACTATTAGAATTGGTTATAATTTTGTTTTTTAATTACCTTAGAAACGTAGTGAACATTTTTAAATTAAATCTTGTAATTGGTGAATTTTGATGTGAATTTAGAATGGCAAAAATTATTGTTTCATACAATAATTCAGCATAAATATTCGAATCTTCAAATTGAAACGATCGTGACAATGGTGATTCAATGATATTGACAATATTTTCATGGATAAAATCATCATCACAGATGGAATTGAATTTAACGATACTGGACAAAATTGTTAGACAAGAATACACTATTTGAAGATTATCGCTTTTGTTGCATTTTATCATTTGACATAAATTTTCAATGACCATTTGATTATTTTCACCAAAATCCAAAGAATATTTCTGGATCTTTTCCAATTCATTTCCCAATATTGGTCTTGGTTTTTTCTTCAATATGACAAAAGAAATGAATTCAATTACACAAATTTTATCGTCGATACTATTTGATAGTAGAACTTTATAGAATAATTGATGAAGATATTTAAACAAGATGATATCATAAATTGGGCTACTGATAATTTTCGATGTAAAATTCAACAAATCATCAAGTGGTAAACAAGTGTTGTTTTGCAGGTAAAATTTTTCACATAACATTTCCATACGATCTGTGGAAGATAAATGTTCATATTTGTGAAGAAAAATCTTCTCGATAATATCCAAAAGTTTTTGTCGTGTTCCAATATCGAGATCATGTTGTTCGAATAAATAGCCAATCAATTTGTATGCAACATCGAAACCATTGTAAACATGTTTGCATTTTTGAATTGAACCAACTGATGAATCAATTCTATCAATCTAATCAAATGAGCATGATCAATAGGTTCAATCAGTAATAATTTCCAAATGATGGTGAAACAATTTGATTGCTGAAAATGATCAAGTGTAAATGATAAAAAATGTTTCATCGAATTCAATGTTCCGGTGGCATTTTTTCCGCTCAATTCATCGAAACAAATCTGTAAATACAAATGAGCTTTTTGATGCATATTTCCTTGAACACCTTTGATACTTTCAAAAATGATTCGACCAACTGCTCTAGATAAATTGTCATCTTGTTCGACATTTTCCAAGATTATTTTGAACAATTTACTCGGTTCTTTTGATCTTCGTAATAAAAAGGCAAACGTTTCGCTGGTGAAATTTACAATATAATCTTTTTTGGTGGTGAAAGCTTTTTTAAAGATTTGAAAATGTTCTTCAATATCGTTGACGATGTATTTCCACAGATATTTGAATAAAAATGTTTGGCAAACAAAAATATTTTCAATCATTTCAGGATCTTCATTATGCATTGAAAGACTGACAAGACGATCGAATATGGTTGAAAAATATTCATAAAATTCTGATTGTAAATCTCGTGACAAAGCTATAAGAAATTCAAGTATTGCATCCAATGCTTTATTGTCCGGATTGGTCATTGCATCCAGAAGTGTTTCAATCAATATTTTCTTTTTATGTACAATTTGAACTAAATTCTGTACATCTAGTGGTGAACCAATTCGTTGTTTCAATTGGCGAAAATCGTGTGTACAATTCAAATCGGTCCATTTTTCCAAGGCTGTGGCAAAAAATGAAATATCCTCATCTGATTGATCATTATCGGCTAGACGTCTTTTTAGATTATTGACTGCCGATATATTAATCTTGTTCAATTTTTCATTGAATGTTTCAAACTAAAAAACAAACCAAAAAAAAAAAAACAAATTATATCACAACTAAAAATACGAATATAACAATGACAAACCTTGTGTGTATTAGTTTCTTTATGGGCATGTGATTTAAATTTTTGAAATTCTTTCTTCATGATGATGTTATTTTATTTTAAAAGATATGACGATAAAACATCAAAATAGAATATTCTTGAAATTCACAAACACAAACAAAACAAAATGTATATATACACGTGTTTGTCGACTTTGTTGGGTGTAAATATCACATCACACACATAAACACATGCTTGAGTAAATATAGAAATATTCTGGTGTAAACATATCACATCACACACACAAACACATGCTTGAGTAAATATAGAAATATTCTGTTCATAAAAATAATTACTGGATTTTTTTTTTACTTAACATCATCATCACTCATGTGTGAGTGTAAAATTAACACTGTTCATCCTAACACACAATGGCTTTATATTGTTAAAAAATTGCACGACGCATGGGCACATAGATTTTCAGAAAAAAAATGTTAAATCGGCAAATGACTGGAAAATTCGAGAAGGAACTCGTTTCCAATGAGAAATACATGCACAACACACACGCCACACCGTCGTAATTTAACCACCACCACCACCACCACCATCATCATCATTTATATTTGTTCGGTTTGAGTTGTGTTTATTCCTTTTTCTGCTCTCTTTGTGTGTCTTGGTTTTTATTTTATTTCATTTCACTTCGTTTCGTTTGGATTACAATCTATATATCGAGTATAATATAGTAAAACGCGCACACAATTATTATTTTGGTCTTTATTACATTCGGCGATTTTATTATCATCACATCAAATTATTAAAATCATTACTTGGAAAGAAGGTAATCCATAATCAAAATTATCATCTACGACACACACACACACATATTGCCTTCATTGTATTATCATCATCATCATCATCATCAAACGATTGTTGTTGTGTTATATTTATTGTGTGGCTGATTGTTTTAAAAATTGCACATCGCAAGTAAGTAAATTTTAGGTAGTTTTCACGTTTTTTTTTGTTTCATTGTAAAAGTTCAATATTTTTTTAATTTAATATGCATGTATTGGGTAAAGGTTTTGATATTGATTATCATTTTTTTTGTGTTTCTTTTTTTTCTCCCGATAATGATAAATTTAGATAAATTTCTTATTGCTTATCTCTTCCTGTACTGATCGGTCGTTTTTTTTTACTCAACGCTTGGATTTGATTCAACACCATCATCACCACCACCACCACCAGGCATACTATAAGTAAACGAATTCAAGTTCGACTTGACGATTCAAATAATCATCATCATATTAAAACAGCGTCACCAAAAACGTTTTTTATTCTTAAATTAAATTAACAATATAACATATTGTTACCACTACACTGGTGTTTAAAAATATTCCGATTCAAAGTCGATTCTTGAACAAAATTTGTTTGTATCAGAAAAAATGGTCAAAGAGACAGCTTATTACGAATTACTTGGTGTATCACCAACATGTTCACAGGATGATCTGAAAAAAGCATACAGAAAATTGGCACTCAAATATCATCCAGATAAAAATCCAAATGAAGGTGAACGATTCAAGGCAATATCGCAAGCATATGAAGTATTAGCCAATGAGGAAAAACGTCGATTATATGATATGGGTGGTGAGAAAGCAATCAAAGAAGGTGGTATGGCTTCAGCAACATCACCAATGGATATATTTGACATGTTTTTCGGCATGGGTCGATCAAAACGTGATCATGGGCCACGAAAAGGAAAGGATATGCATTTTGCATTGAGCGTAACATTGGAAGAACTTTATAATGGATCAACACGTAAACTTCGTGTTTCTCGTAAAGAGATATGTGAAGGTTGTAAAGGATCTGGTACTCGTGCACCTGGTATCAGCCCCGAAGCATGTACTACTTGTCATGGAACTGGCATGCAAATTCGTGTTGAACGTCTAAGAAATAATTCCAATTTCATTCAACAAATTCAATCTGTTTGTAGCGAATGTCAAGGAAATGGTGAAAAAATTGCTGCTAAAGATCGTTGTAAAAAATGTACTGGAACTAAGGTCATCAAGAATTCAACATTATTAGAGGTTCATATTGATAAAGGTATGATTGATGGACAGAAAATTGTATTTTCCGGTGAAGCCGATCAAGATCCTTCATATGAACAACCGGGCGACATTATTGTTATTTTGGAACAAAAAGATCATGAAGTTTTCAAACGAAGCAACGGTACCAATCTAGTGATGTCAATGAAAATCAATTTAACTGAAGCATTATGTGGTTTTCAAAAAACAATCACCACTTTGGATAGTCGGACATTATTGATTACAAGCTATCCTGGTGAAGTAATCAAACATGGTACTATTAAATTTATTGCTGGTGAAGGTATGCCAACATATAGAAATCCATTCGAAAAGGGTAAACTTATTATAAATTTTACCGTTGATTTTCCGGATAAAATTGATTCTGCAATTATTCCAAAATTGGAACAATTGTTACCTGAAAGACCGATTCAAGATATTCCAATGAATGATGTTGAAGAAGTAAATCTACATGATTATACTATGCATGATGAAGAACGTTCACGACATAATCATCGTGAAGCATATGATGCATATGAAGAAGATGGTGATATGAATCATGGACCAGGTGTGCAATGTGCCACACATTAAATTTTCACACACACACACACACACACATCATCATCATCATCATACAACACAACAACAACAACAAAAGGCATAAACTAAAAAAACCTCGAGTATATCAATTCTAAATTTTTCATTCATCAACAATATGAAATGTGTGTGTGTGTGTGTGTGTGGGTGCGTTCGTTGTCTGTAAGCATCAAAATAACCCAATTAGTAAAATGTCTTCAAATCGTAATTCTGAAACACACACACACACCATACACTAATTTACAATGAATGAAATTTTTATATTTAGCTTTATTTGTGAATGATGATCGATCGATGATTGATTGATTGTATGAATGAATGAATGAAAAAACAATAATAAAAACAATTCAATTCATAGATCTGATTTCTCATTCTGATGATTTCTTTCTCTCTCTCTCTCTGTGTGTGTCAATGTTTTTTCCACTTTTTTCCAAGGTACAATATATATGTGTAACAACAACAACAACAGCAAACAAAAAAAAATTGATTTGATTTCAAAATTAATTAATCATTTCTTGAATATTCTTTATTATTCATCATCATTATTATCACACACCTACACCTGCACACACACACACACACACACAAACATGGATTTTAATCAAATTTTATTATATAAATGTCAATGATAATAATACATTAGGTATTTATACAATTAATAATAATAATAATAATGGTTAACGAATTTTCTTTCAATTTAAATTTAAAAAAATATTCAAATTATGTAAAAATTCTTGAATTCTCTCTCTCTCTCTCTCTCTCTCTCAATGTGGAATATTGAAAAATTTTTCATTCTGCAAGAGAATTCGTGATGTTGAAACAATAAACACATTTTTTTTTCATTCATTCATTAAGTAATTTGAATAATAATAAAAAAATTTTCAATTTTAAAACAAAAATGCATGCCTATCTATATTTTTTTTTTTTTAGTGATTCGGTGGGCAAAGATTTGTTGTTGTTGTTGTTGTTGTCATTCATTAATACGGCCAATCACATAATTTTGATTTCGATTGTTTGTCATCGTTAATAAATGTGGTAATGATATTTTTCTTGAACGATTATTTTTATTATTATTCATCATCATCATAATTGATCGATGATTATTATTGATTGATTTTGTTGTTGTTTTTTTTGCTATTGTTTTTGCTGTTGTTGTTGCTTTTGTCGATGTTGTTGTTATATGGCCATAAATGCCACCATTAACACCACTGCCACCAACACCATTACAATTTGTTCCATTCAATCTTTCAAATGGACCACGTGGTAATAATAGTATATTATCCGGTTCTTTTGAACGTATTATCGGTGTTTGATTATGATTTTCATATGTTCCATAATAACCCTGATATGGTGTTATGGCTAATGCAGCAATTTTTTCAATTTGTAATTTATTTTCACTTGGTGGATAACGTTCATAAACACTTTGTATGATCAATATCATTTGTATAATATTTGCCGGTATCGATCGATTTTGTTCGATTAATAATTCTTTTAGTTTATCTATATGGAAAAAAAATTAAAAAAAAAAAAAAAAATTTCATTCCAATACACTAGATGGCAACGTTGTGACCATAAACAAAGAAAAACAATTACCTTCAAGCAGACTATTGATGAGAATTTGATCACGAAATATTACCAATGTTGTTTTACGTATCGATACATTATTGAATGACTGTTGGAAGCAGAAACAAAAAAAAATCAATTAATTAATGTAATTAATAAACAAATTAATGGATCAAAAATCAGATTATTGAATAAGAAAAAAAAACAGACATCATCATCAAATCATCATAATGTGTACGTGTTGATTGTGTGTATTTATCGTTTTCGTTGTTGTTGTTGTTGTTGTTGAGGGAAAAAAAAGCGTTTTTAGTTACCTCGATACTAAAAAGCATACATTCCAATGTTGAAAGTATGTCATGGTAGAAAGTTTTCCATACTGATCCTAATGTATCCAGATAATTTTTTTTTCCATATTCGTTATCACCACTACTATTACATTGGACATCATCCTCATCATCATCATGATGATCGATGTTTGATTTTAATAAACGTACGGCTTTCGGTAGCACTTGACTCTTCATTAATTAATGATTGAATGAATTTGTAATTGAGAAAATTAAAATTAAAAAAAAAATTTTTCAATCACAACAAATTCATTCATTATCTAGATCTAGATAATGAATGAAAATTTTTTTTTTATTTTCTTTTTCATATTTACCTTAAGACGTTCAAAGACAAAAATACCAAAATTTGAATCCAATAATGATACAATGTCTTCGTGTGTTTGTTTCAATTGGCCATCGATTAATTTACCATCATTTTTGAATAAATTTATAATCGATTCTTCTAGGCTATGAAAATTCAAAAGAATTCATTACTAAAATGGAATAAAGAATTTAAGGAATAACTGGCACTAAACTTACCGTACCCAATTGGCATTTTTAGCGCATGGTACCAGAAATTCACTGGACAGATTACCACCACAAATTGTATGGAATAATTTTTCTGTTTGTAAATCATCATCATCATCATCATAATCATAATCATCATCATCATTATCATGATCATCATAGCAGCTATGATGATCATTGTTTGTAATTTTAATCACATTATTCGTAAAATTACGATTATGGCCATTACAATTTTTCACTGTATTTGATCGTTGTTTATTGATTGATTCTAATTGTTTTAATGTATCAGATAGATGTATTTTTGGATTTTTATTTACATTTAAATTATTATTATTAAAAAACGATAAACGACGACTGAATGGCATTTTCTTTGGTATTTTTTTTTTTGCAGATTGAGATCAATTGTTGTTGTTGTTGTTGTTGTTGCTATTAAGAAAAACGAATGAATGAACACAATATATGGATAATAATAACGCGTGTTACCACGCGATAGAAAATTCACAAAACACACACAGAGAAAGAATCCAAAAAAACAAAGTTTGAATGAGCGCCAAAAAAAAGTGAATGAATAAAAAGTTACATGTTCATCTTCATCGGTGTGCTGGTATATCCTGTCATGTTCATCTTCTTCATCATCATCATCATCGACAACAACAACAACAACAGTGATCGTTTGTACTATTGCTCATTTGATCATAACCATTTAGTGTTGTGATGATGTTATGTGTATTGATCATGATTTGTACATCATCATCATCATGATGTTTTTATTCACGTTCATTTCAATTTTTTTTTTATTTTGCGATTGATAATTTTAGATACACAAAATACACACACACACACACACACACACACACATCAAGAGAGGTTCATCAATGAAGAAGAAGTAATGAAATGAAACGAAGGAAAATTTTTTTTTTGTTGTCACCAAGATTATGTATGTGTGTGTGCGCGCACCGATTTACGTCATTTTTAATAATAATTTCAAATCTCATTACATAATTATCAATATATAGAAATATACAAATTGAATTTAATTTGTAAATTTGTAATATTAAAAGTTTTCTTCATGTGTGGTAATTATTATTATTCAATGGACATTGAAATTGATTTTTGAAATGAAACTACAAATAAAGACATAGAATATACCATTACAATGAATGGTGAATGACTGATTGATGATGATGATGATGATGATGAATCGATGATGATAAAGTCATTGATGATCACAAGTGGCAATTATATTTTGTATATAATTGGCTGATCGATTGATTGATTGGTTGGATTGGATTGGATTGAATTGAATATATCAAATGTGTTGTCATGAATGATGTTTTTTTTTCTTCAGTTTGTTTTTTTTTTTTCATTCAAATTGTCGTTTTGTTGCCGTTGTTGTTGTTGTTGTTGTTGTTGTTATTTCCTACAACAGAAAAAAATGTAAACGAATGAAAAAACAGGAAAAGAAACATTAACTTTAACACACAAGGCTATCACCATTATCTTGTATTTACAAATAACAACAAAACAACAATTATGAATGCGAATGATTTGATGGAAAGTTGAATGTTTTTAAAGTGAAAAAAAATCCAATTCAACGAATGATTTAAATGTAAAAAAAAATTTCCAATTTCACCGATTCTGTTTCAATAACGGTGAAATTCTTGGTACCAAAACAACAACAACAACAACAAGTTGCCACAACGATTGTCGACTATTTCGATCATAATATTTTATATGACCATCATCATCGTCGTTGTTACAAATGAAAAGATTATTAAAACACAAAATATTAGCCAAAACAATAAAAAAATCCACAATCAACAATTGTCATTTTTTGTTTCTTTTATTTTATCATCATTATCATTTTAATCACTTTTTAATGCCAGCCAATAAACTCAAATTCAGAAATTTTTTTTTTTGGACATTATTTCTGGTATTTGTGTGTGTGTGGGCGTACTACACATCATCAATCAATCAATGTTTATCTGGTTGTCCGATCAATGATGATTGTATGTGTGTGTGTGTGTGTGTTTGTGCGTTAATCCAAACAATTATTATTATTATTATAATGTATACAGAGAGCGAAAAAAAAATCCTACAACATTTTCCATGTTTATGATCAATTTTTGATCAGATGATCAAATTTGAATAAATAACATTCCGGATATACTATCATTGGCGATAGATGGCGTAATTAGGATCACTAGTTTTTTGAATTTGGTTTCCTATTTATCCTGGACTATATGTCGATGATAAATACAACAGAAAAAAAACATCAAACTAAACGGCAGCTGATAGACAGGCTGAATGACATTGGTCTACCAAACCAAATTGGGGACAATTTTCATTATGATCATCATCGTATATTGGAAAACCTGATGACTGTCAAGGTGTTCGTATTATTGGGTTTTCAATTTCATATATCATAATATACAACAACAACAACGCAGATGATGATGAAATCATGTTTTCCAATAATTCAATTCAGGCACGTGGCCTGTGTTCTAATTTTCAATCATGTTCATGTTCATGTTCATGTTTTTTTCTCTCATTCATAATTTTCTTCATTGTATTCAAGAATGAATAATAAGAAAAATAAAACAAAACAAAACATGCTGATCAGGATACGGTGTCTTTGTGTGTGTGTGTGTGTGTGTAAGTGTGTGGGTATGAATATTTTATAGCCGAAAAAAAACAAACAAACAAACAAGGTCATTGCACATTATCATCATCATCATCATGAAAATGTAAAACAAAACAAAACAAAAAAAATGTTAATAAAATTAGACGAAAAAACGAAACGAAAATGAATCAAATCCAGGCATAAATACCACACACACACACACAAACAAATTGCAGAGAGAGAGAGAGAGAGAGAGAGAGAGAGAGAGAAAATGCGAAAAATAAAAACATCCATAATCAATTAGTTTCATGACATTGTTATATGGATATTGAATTTTTTTTTGTTTGTTTGTTTATTGAATTGATTGATTGATTTACGCCGAACAAAAAAAAAATTCCAATATCATGATCATCATCATCATCATAATTTTTTTTTCGTTTTGTTTTAGTGTTTTTTTCCAGCCATTGACATTATACGTAGATAATGAAAATTCTTGTGATTTTTTTTTTTTTTTATAACCGACAAAGATTGTTAGTTTTGGATAGATTGTCAAAATATTTATTATAACTGTAAAAAAAATGCTAGTATTTTTTTTTGTTTGGTTACGATGGAAACCTGGTACCATGACCATGGTCATCATCGAATCAAACAAACCAAGATATGAACCATCAATAATTAGCTGGGGAAAAAAATTTATTCTCACCGCGCACGCTGTGTGTGTGTGTGTGTGTGTGTTTTGCTGGTAATCATTCAAGCATTCAATGACAATTTTCTCATCATCATCATCATCATTCCAACATGAATTTGTCAATTTGAGGGTTCTAGAGAATAATAACTGTGTTTTTTGGCCACTAAAATGGAAAAAACTTTCACTCAAATGAGAATGATGACGATGACGATATATTTTCGGTTACAAATTTTTTTCATTTTATCATCTTCATCATCATTCATTTATTCATTCTGTGTGTGTGTGTGTCCATTGCATAATCAAAGAAATAGAATAATGTCGCCTCTCTCTCACATTCTCTCTGGTCATGTAATAAATTCAATTCATTCCATTCACTACCTCCCACACTGTTTAGATTACCAGAAAAGAACTTCAATGATATGATGAACAATAATAAAAAAATTTACGACTTTCAATCATCATAATCATCATCATCATCCATTGATAAATGTTTGTTATGTTGGCCAAATAATCATTTGATGATTCGTATCAATAAATCCGATGATGATGATGATGATCATGATCGATCAAATTTTGATATCATGATCAGGCATAAATTTGATTTGAAAGGAAAAATTCAGAATATTCACATAGTTCCCGTGTGTGTGTGTGTGTGAAAGAAAATATTCAATCAAATCAAAATGAATAGATATTCAGAATCAATTTTTTTTTCAGCTGAATCACAATACAAACACACACACACACACACACACACACAGAGAGAAATTCAATGATTGTGTGTGTGTGTGTGTGTGTATTGGTGGAAAAAAACCAAAACCAATAAAATTACATGATGATGTAGAATATATTGATTATAAAACAAATCGCTATCATGTTGTTATCATACACACACACACACACACTGGAAGAAAATTTGTAATTTTTTTTTTGCTGTTTTGCATTCAAATTGAATCATATGTAACTGAATTTTTTTTCGTTTCTTTCTTATTATAGATTCTAATTAGTATTCATCATTAGTTGAATATATTCAAACATTCGATACGTTTATAGAATACCTTGATGATTGTACAAGGAATGTACATGTATTGCGTTTTTATTTTTTTTTTTTTTATAATCACATCACATCAATCAATCAATGAAACAAACAAACAATGGACAACAATCGTTTTTATTATTATTATTGAACGATGTGGCAATGACGTGAATGATCCGATATGATCAATCAATCAATCATTTGATCAATCGATTGATTTGAATCGTAGAAATTTCAATTCAAGCCTTTTTGTGTGTGTGTGTGATGAAATCTAAATAATTAATCTAAATGACCATTATTTTTATCCACCAATCGTCATCATACGTTGAAATATGTTGCATTCAATTTGCATTTTCATTTTCGTTGTTGTTGTTGTTGTTGTTTTTTTCAATCGAATAAAAAAATTTTATCATTCGGTACATTCACATTTATAAATCATTATATAACAAGCATCCATAATGTTCATGTACGATTGACATTGGACACACTAAATTTCTTGGTGTCCATTTTTTCAATGGAATTACAGCAGCCAGTATAATAATTTAATTTCTTTCTAAGCAGCTGCTACTTTTCAAACTGGATCCGTTGCCAATTTTTTTTTTCGTTTCTTAAATTCAAAAAAAAATTGGGTCCAAGGATTTTTGTGATGTGGATGTTGTTTGCAATAATATGCAGTCAATTTTTTCTGTTGTTGTTGTTGTTGTTGTCCAAGTTTTGTCCAGTGAAAAAAACACCGGTTATTTTCGTTTTTTGTTGTTGTTGTTGTTGTTCTTTTTATTTTTCTTTTTCAATCGCTTTCGATAGAGCACGTGCCAGATTTTTTTTTTCATTTTCATCAAAAGATCTTATTAAATTTTTCTTTTTTTTTTTTTTATTCTGCCTGCCTACCATATGAAACCTGATGTAGCATCTGCGGGAAGTTGGTACACACACACACACACAGTCGGCTGGTCTTAATTGTCAAATGACACTGTATATACTGTGTGTGTGTGTGTGTGTGTACTGTGTTAACATTTGTCACCACAACATTTGTTACCCCTCTGAAATGTTACCGTTTGTTTATAATTTCAATAATATCCGTGTGTGTGTGTGTGTGTGCGTATGTTTGCGTGTGCAAAAAAATTCAAGGATCCGTTCTGTATATATATGTGGTAGAGTACTACCTGGATCCTGTTCGCCTGTTTTTTATTTTGCCTGTGTGTAAAAACCGTGTCCTAGGCAATATATTTGGATGAAAACCAGAGTGAGAAAAGTCGAAACAAACACCCTATGATCTTTACCAGAAAAAACAACAACAACAACAACAACAATTGCTATAGCTGAAGTGAAATGAAATGAACCATATACTAAAAAAAAAAAAATAAACAAAAAAACATTGTGATGACTCGTGACCTAGGGACCTAGAGTGGATTGGATTTTTGTTAGATAAAAAAAATATACCTGGACATTTACAAATGATACATGAAAAGTAACGATATATGATGATGGCTATATGATTATGTATGCACACGTACAACAACAACGATAACAATAAAGCACGTGCTCGTGGAACACTTCATTATGCATTTTTCGTTTTTTTTTTTTTTTGTTTTTGGATTTTTTTGATTAGTTTGTTTTTTTCTTGAAACATCATTTCTTTTCTTTTTAAGTATTTGTTTTTTTGTATCGTTGTCATTTTCTCTCTCTCTCTCTCTCTCTCTCTGAAATGAAATTCAACCTCAACAACAAACAAAAAAAATGAAAATTAGGTGGAGCTTATGTGAACAACACAAGTCAAGTGACTTATTCAATTCATTCATTCATTCATTTTTTGTCGTTGTCACACAAACACAAACACACACACACACACACAAGCATCATTCATTTGACCAATTACATCATCGTCATCATCATCATCCTAGAACTCAATCATCATAATCATTTGTGAAATTTGATCAAATACAAAATGTGAAACCAAAATCAAATTCTTACCGGCAAATATAAATATCAAATCAAATATCTGATTAAATAAACCCCAAAAAAAAAATCATCATTTTCTCATTGAAAAAAAGGTGTTTTTCTCTCTCCATCTCTCTCTCTTTATCACTATTTTTTCAATATAAAATGAGGTGATAGTTTAAGTGTGTGTGTGTGTGTGTGTGTGTGCTGTATGTTGTACTGTTGTTGAGACTCTTATAACGGGGCGTGTATTATTATACTACTAGTGTGTGTGTGTGTGTGTGTTATGGGGGAAGAAATTTTTAGGGTTTATATACTACACACAACAATGTATTACAGTAAAAAAAAAAAATATCCGTATGCAAAACGTGTGTGTTGTGTGTGTGTGTATTTATGTTGATGAATTGTAAAACAACAACAACAACAACAACATCCAATGTGAGTGTGTGCGTGAATTTTTTTTTTTTTTTTTTGAAAATAAGTTTTGCGCTCACTCTGAATGGAGAAGAAGAAAAAAAATCATTACACCACCGCTGCCATCATCATTCGAATGTATTTCTGATAATAATCATCATCATCATTCTTGTTCAAACATTCTAACAGTGCAGACACACACACACAGACAAATCAGTAGTGAAATTTGAAAATCATCGTGTGTTCCATTCATAATTCTTGTGTGATTTTTTTTGTTTTATAGAAAAATTTTCAAATTTAAATTGAAAAAAAAATTAGATAATCATCGTCATCATCATCAACATCAAAATCATAAGATCAATCGAAATCTAATCAATATAATTAATTAAGTCATTTTCTGCATTTACAATTTTTCTCAGGTTTTTTTTCTGATTTCATCAAAATCCTCTTATTTTTTGTTTTCGTGTGCCACAGTGCTCTGTGCTCTGTACTCTGTGCGATCAAAAGTTTTTTTTCCCGTTACCTGTTTGTTGATTGATTTCAATTTATTTTTATTTTTATTTTTTCTCTCTCTCTGCACTAGACTCTAGATTCAAAGATCACCAGAGTGTAGAGTGTTGATGAATTCAATGTGATTTGTGAGTTTACCGTTTTTTTTCCACCACCACCACCATCATCATCATCATCATCATCGGTCGTCGATGATGATCATCATCATTTCATATCTCAAGAAAAAAATGACATCGTTTGTTTAAGAAGATAATGATGATATTGGTAAATGACATGAATCATGACATTGACATCGTCATCATCATCAACATTGACTGCAATAAATGAATGAACGTCATAAAATTACTAAATATTGGAATATTGTAAGTAACAACAACAACAACAGCGACAACGATAAATTTTGTTTTTCATTTTCTTCTCCACTAAAACAAATTTCCGGCTGTCATATACATTCCAATATTATTATTGTAAAGCACCCAAAATCACACAAGATCTGATAAAGAAAATGATGATGATGACGGCTGAAAAATCAAACCATATCGCACATACACACACATGAACATTTGAATATTCAATTAAACTTTTTTTATTATGATGATATCAACAACCGAAACAACGAAAACAACAACAATAACCAATATGATGATACATAATGATGATGATGATTATAATAATAATTTTAGGTTTCAAATAAAGCCTTGTTTATTATCAATCAACAAACCTGCTGTGATGACCACTATTAATTGTGGTGATTATTGTTGTTGGCAATGGCCATCAACAATCAATCAACAACAACAACAACAACTACAACCACTAATACAATTCAAAGATCAACAAATCAATGTCCATCATTGTTATTGGACTAATGGATCATCATCATCATCGATAATTTATCATTGCAATACAATTGCCAATAATAGTAGTATATGTGTTTATTTTAATTTTTTAGTACAATCACCACCAACAATGTATTCATCAAAAATGTTTCAACAAAATAGTACCATCATCAACAATTATTATCAATACACAGAACAAATAAAAAACAAATGGCAAACATTTACCTTAATCAATTCAGTTCAATCTTTAAATAAACAACAACAACAACAACAACAACAGAATAATTGTACAATCAACAGTAGTCATCAACAACAACAACAACAACCATCAAGGTCGGTAGACCAAAAAATTAGTTCAAATCCTTCATCATCATCATCGTCGTGTTCTTCATATTTCAATTCAACACCAATATTGACTACAATTCCATTATTATCATCAATGTTCATCTTTAGTACAAAATCGTCAATAGTCAAATCATCATTTTACTATCTATTATTTCTAGTCTTGTGTTTTTCATTATTTACAACAACGTCAACAACGAACGGTAAATTCTTTTCACTTATGGCCTTGATTTTTTTGTTGTTGTTGTTGTTTAAACTTTCACCTTTGTTTGCCACTTTTTTTTCACTGTAATTGAAATTTGTCAATTGTCATTTTTTGACTTTGAGAATATTTTTTTTTTTTTTTTTATTTTTTTAAAGTTTTTTTTTATATTTCATGATGATGAACAAAAACAAAATTGAAATTTCATCCAGAATGTCATGTGTGTGTGTGTGTATATGCAATATAATTACCATAAAAGCTTGCGCGACGAGACATTTTTCCCTCTTTCTTTGATTTGAGTCCAAGTCTCTATGTCTTGCCGCGCACACCAAAAAAAAAAAAATATCAGGTACATTTGATCAATTTATGATGATGATGGTAAGTGGTGGCTTATGGTTTTTTATTTTGTAACACACACACACACACACACATAGAGGTTTTGACAAACAAATTCTGACGTCTAGAATGTAATATTGTTTAGATGTTTTGTGCAATAGTGTGCAATATTGATGATGATCATTATTAAATCAAAGTTTAATCACATTACAAACATTATTATTTATTGTGTGTGTGTGTATTATATATGGCAAACGTTTTTCTTTTTCTTTCTGCAAATATTATCATCACCATCATCATCATTTATTTTTAATAATCACTGGAGCAACCACCAGAAAGATCGTAAAGAAATCATTTGATTTGTAATGCCTATATATATAAATACATATTTACGACTATATATGACAATGTCATTTAACCCAAAAGTCAAAAAAAAAACGCCAGGTGATTCATTTTCCAATTTTGTGCAGAAATTTTTTTTTTTTTTTTGGGTTTGTGTGAATGAATCGGCGAGAATTTATGAGTGGTCGACATGATTGTTTTTTTCTTTACAAAATTGAAATTTCATCCAGAATGTCATGTGTGTGTGTGTGTATATGCAATATAATTACCATAAAAGCTTGCGCGACGAGACATTTTTCCCTCTTTCTTTGATTTGAGTCCAAGTCTCTATGTCTTGCCGCGCACACAAAAAAAAATATCAGGTACATTTGATCAATTTATGATGATGATGATGATGGTAAGTGGTGGCTTATGGTTTTTTATTTTGTAACACACACACACATAGAGGTTTTGACAAACAAATTCTGACGTCTAGAATGTAATATTGTTTAGATGTTTTGTGCAATAGTGTGCAATAGTGATGATGATCATTATTATTAAATCAAAGTTTAATCACATTACAAACATTATTATTTATTGTGTGCATATATATATTTATGGCAAACGTTTTTCATTTCTGCAAATATTATCATCACCATCACCATCATCATCATTTATTTTTAATAATCACTGGAGCAACCACCAGAAAGATCGTAAAGAAATCATTTGATTTGTAATGCCTATATATATAAATACATATTTACGACTATATATGACAATGTCATTTAACCCAAAAGTCAAAAAAAAACGCCAGGTGATTCATTTTCCAATTTTGTGCAGAAATTTTCTTTTTTGGGTTTGTGTGAATGAATCGGCGAGAATTTATGAGTGGTCGACATGATTGTTTTTTTTTGGTTGGGCGACATCATGTTGATGACAAAATGAACATGGAGCAAAATAGCGACACGAGTATATTTATTGTATGCCGTGTTTGTATTTATTTGTTTGTTTGTGTGTATCTTGGCAACCAAATTGTTTTTTTTTTGGTTTCATTTGAATCATCATCATCATCATTTATTTTATGGTCCAAAGGTCACATAAACATAGGCGGTCGTTTTTTATTTAATCTCATTCTGACGTTTAGGTCACATACATATGCATTCCATCACCATCATCATCATCATCATACTGTGGTGGAAAAATTAATATTAACGATTATGATAAATCGATGTTCTGCAGCAGTAATATAGTAAATGATGATAAACATGATGGTCTAAGATGATCGTATTCGGCGACAATTGATTATCATCATCATCATTTAAGATTTAGAGAAAAAAAGTTGTCGCCGTAATATCGTTAATAATGATAGTTCAGTTCATTCGTATATATATATATATAAATAGCATTGTCGTAAGAAAATTTTTTTTTATTTTTCGATTTTCATATTCGTTTCCAGAATATCATATGATTGGCGATCAATCATTTTTTTTCACTTGCATGTAAACTTTGGTTTTCACTTTTTTTTGCATATTCCACTTGTAAAAAAACATTTTGTTGCATTTCGAGAATTTACAAAAAAAAAAAAAAATTCGAAACAATTCAACCAATCGATCGATTCTAATTGTAAACAGTGAAATAAGAGCCAGAGCCAGAGACAGACATGTTCGACAGAACACTGACAAATCATTGATTTGTATTTTAAATTTGAAGAAAAAAGAAAAAATTTTTTCTTTTGGCTGAAATTCATCTGAAACTTTTGTTGAAATCAGATGAAATGTGTGTCTTTTTTTTCATGAAGGTAAAGTAGAGCAGAAAAAAAATCAAATGGCAGATCTTCAAATTTTTGTTTCTGTTGGATTAATTTTGTTGTTGTTGTTGTTGTTATGCAAGATTTTAGAACGTTTAGTCGTTTTTTTTCCGCAAATCTATCCATCATTCATTTTTTTTGATGGTAAATAAAAACAATGTAACGATGAAGAAGAAAATTCATCGGAAAAAATTTTTCTTTTCTGATGTTTTAATTCGTTTGACATTGATTTTTGTTTCATACACACACACACACAAAAAAAAATTTTCCCAAATGAATTATGAATGAGATGGTATTATATATACCCTGATTATTTTCATTATTTGCAACAAACAAACAAAAAAACGACCACATGCAATTTCAAATCAATCAAATCCACTTAATCCAAATCAAAAAAAAAAAAAAAATGTAATCATTGCAATTAATAAATTGCAACCTAGTAATTATCGATGTTTGATGATTTGCTGATGATAACGTGCTTTTCATCATCATCATCATCAACAAGTGATGATGATCATTTTCCACAATTGAAATGAATGCATGAATCAATCGAGAATATAAATGGAATGTTTGTTTGCTTTTTTTGGTGATGTAAATCTTTTTTTTTCTTCTCGTTTCATATTTGATTTTAGTGGTTACCTTTTTTGGATTTTTGATTTTCTTTTTTTTTTTTTGCTGTTGTTGTTGATGACAAAAAGTTTTGTGTGTGTGTGTGTGTAATTGAAAACAAGTTGTATAAGTTTGATTTAGTGGTTGCTTCCAGCATAAAATTGATCCGATTATTATTTCATATTTTTTTTAGCTTTAGTTTGATTAATAATTTGATTTTTCTTTCTGGGACAAATTATTACTCCTTTGAACACTCGTATATATGATGATGATGATGGTTTGTTGACCTCCAGGTCATCACTATGTGTCTATAATGACACATTGTAGACACACAGACACAAACTATTTTTTTTCTGTTTATAAAAAATTATAAACACAAGACATTCACCCCTGTGTATTTTCATTTTTTTAAATATTCCACTTCTGTTGCTATTATGTTTCTGGATCGAATTTTTTTGCGTAGCAGACGCATTGCTGCGCCTGTTTTTTTTTACTTTTTCTTTGACATTTTCTTATACTTGTCCAGACTTCCGTGTTTGTTGCTTGTTTTTTTGACTACTGGTAGTAGGTTTTTTTTTGGAACACCTTTCACTTTTTTTTCTTTCATTTGAAGCTTTCATTTTCGTTCCTTAAAGGTGAAAAGGTTAGCAACCTAAGGCGACGACCTAAGGCCTCACCTATTGTTTTTTTTTATTATTCGAAAAAAAATTCATTCATACAGATCGATCCTGTATCAAGGTTCGTTGTCCGGTTTTTTTTATTTTGGTTAGATTCGTGTGCGGCTGATTTTGGGTGACGATTATGGTGAATGAACCATCAGTATCTTGTGTTACGCACGATTAATCACATATTCAGCTGCTGCTGCTGCTGTTGCTGTTGATGGATGAAAACGTGTGCGACAAACATTTTATCATTGGCTGGTTTCTTGAAAATAAGAAAGAAAGCAAAAATGAACATTTGTCGTTGGCCATTCATCGTCGACCGGCTGCCGTTTAGGGCAAGACAAGCAAAGCAATACTTAACAACAACAACAACAACAGCAATTATATTTTGCCCTATGGTTCTTATAATAATGGTACGACACACACACACACACCATCATCAAGCATTTGTACCACGTGCCACGTGCTTGTTGATATATACCGTTGTTGATATCATAAGCAGGTGGTGGTATTAGTAGCTGATGATCATATTCAAATGAAAAGCGAGATTGACTAGGTCTGATTGCTCGTGCCACTTTATTATTAAGTATAGGCTGTGTAAAGCAAGTCAATATTGTAACAACAATAGTGCCGTTATAATTCATATAAATTAAAGAATTTAGCTAAAAAAAATGCAAATTAAAAGCTATATAAATCATAAGAAGAAGTAAATTGATGATAATCCAATTGGATTTTATTTCTATTTTTTAGTCATTGATAAAACAGCGAACCCAGAAATACTCCCTCGCATGGATAAATAATCTCCATATGTTGCTCATAATTTCGCTTGTTTGTTGTGTGTGTGTGTGGTTGTTCCATATGTTTTACATTGTTTGGCACGTTTTTGGCCCCCTTGGATGATGATGATGAGATTATTACCTACTGATGATGATTGGGGTGGTAAATTTGTTTAAACGATATTTGAAAAGTCAATAATTTACATCATCATTATAATTGGATGAAATTTATATTCATGGTGATTTGGTGAAAATTATCATCAAATAGGTGATTTCCTCGAGCAGTTTAATTTAATTTGATTCAATTTTTAAGCTGTCAAAATAGGGGTTTTTTCTTTTTGATGTTTTAATTTCACTTCAACAGCACATTCGCATTCGTCTGAATTTTTTCTTCCCTGGTTTTCGTTGTCAAAATCGATGAAAAATAACATAGACAAATGAACGGAAAATTCAAAGAATGAAAAAAAGAAAATTTTCGATTAAAATATGGCTAAATTTAGCAGACTTTTGCAAGAAAAATTCTTGCGTTAACAAAATTCGTTCGTTGTCTTTGATTTTTTTTTTTTTTTTGGAATAGAATCATCATCATCTTTCATGGCCTTGAGAATGATGATGATGATGATTGCCGTTTGCTGTATGTTTAGTTTCGTTTTTTCGGTGTCCAAAGATTTATGAGTTTTTTTTGTTGTTGTTTTGTTTTCTGGTGCAAATGTGTAATGTGTGTGTGTGTGATTGCTAGTTATGTCAAGTCTGGTGTGAATCAGCATTCTGTTTATGTTGTTGTAATGGTTATATTCGGATAATCCGATGAACATTATCGAACCTTGAAAACACAGTCAGATGCCGATTTTTTTTCTCAATTCTTGTGAATTTTTTTGTTTGCTGTCGAATTTTATCCATTGAATTTGTTGTTGTTGTTGTTGTTGTCGGTTCAGATCATTGACATTATCATCATTGAATTGAATCGGAAACCAAGAAGAAAAAACAACAAACGAATGGTCAACCTGTTTGGCGATTAGTGAAAATTTTTAACAACAAAGAAAACAATAAAAAACAAATCAACAAGTCATGTTGTCTTGTATTACAAATTTGGATCATGATGATGATGATGATGATGATGCCAAGTTCTCATCACATCATAAATTATCATTATCGATATATTCGACATGATAAGAGAAAAAAAACATGGCCATTGACCATCACTACATCGAAAAAAAAGGATTGCCTGCTGTGTATCATCAATTGCAACCATTGAAACCCTTTTTTTCACCACTTTTTATATTTTTTCTGTAATATTCCTATTATTAATTATTTCAATCAAAGAATATTGTCTATGGAAAAATGTCTAGATTTTACATAGATTAGTGTTTGATGTTAATTTACACATTTTCACTTGTTCATCCGATCATACGAGAATCGATTGTGATATTTGATTGATACATAAAACAACCACCAAGGATAACAAGACGATTATTGATGATTATCAGATTGAGACGAAAAAAAAGTGTGTGTTTTTCTGCTGTTTGCTAATCATTCATTTTATGTCTACGATCAATTTATTGTTTTTTCATTCGCTGATGATGTTGATAATTAATTTTTTTTTTGTTGTATTGTTCTGCTTTTCACCAAGAACAAAAAAATTGCTGATTTCATCGAGTTTCATTATCGACATTTTTATCGTGAATTTTCATGAAAAAAACATCATATGGTCAAAAATACAAAAACGACAAGAACGGATTATAGAGAGAAAAAACACTTTTAAACGACGGTCAAAAATCTGATGTATTTAAACGAATTTTTTTTGTTTTGTTTTTGTTTTTGATGTGTGTGTGTGTGTGTGTGGCAGCCATTTTTCTTTTTTTTTCTTTTTTTAGTTTTCCTGTAGACATCATACAGACACAGACAACCGACATAGATTTGATCTGAAAAGATCGGACACACACACACAGGCAATCATCAGGCGTCCTGCCAAAATCTTCCATAATATTCATAAATATCAATAAGATTCAGACAAATTCCATATACAGTCATTTTTAAAGTTGATATGGGGGGTTGGTTGTAAGCAAAACAAAAAAATTTTGATTTTACCGGATCAATCGATTGATTGATTGATTACCTGTGGTTGTACAAAAAAAAAAAATTTTTTTTTTAAAGGTCACGCAAGAAAGGAATTGGCCATGAAAATGAATAATAAAAAAAGTTAAAATGTGTAAATGACGGATCAAGACTGACGATGATGACAAACAGTATGGAGCCGATAAAACTTTTATAAGATTCAATGATGATGAGAAGAGGAAAAAAAATCCAAAATCCAGTCTGATTTATAAAAAAAACCAATATCTGATCTTGTTCAAGATAATTCTAGACATACAAGCAAAAGATTATTTCATTGGATTTTCATCATCATTTATATTTTCATATATTTATATGAATTTGATTGAGACAACAACAACAACAACAACAAAAATTGTCCTTCAATTCAATGTGGATAGATGTGTACAGCTGCATTATTATGATCTATTTTCAGTATCCAAAACAGAAAAAAAATATCATTGACAATTGATGTCATATAAGTCCTCAGTTTTTTTTGTGGTCTATGCAGCGTGTCTCGCTGGACCCAAAAAAAAAAAAAACGGGCCAACCATTTTTTTATTTTATTTTATTTTATTGCCCGGTAGTTGCAGCTGCAGCAATCTCTAGTGCCCTAGATTTTTTTTTGTTTTGTTTTGGCAAAGAAAAAACGGGGCAATATTGATGTGTGTGTGTGTAATAATGGTAACAACAACAACAACAACAAAAAAATGAAAAAAAAAAGAAAAAGTTTGAACCATCCAGCATTACCCTTCATTTTCATTTTATTTCATTCACATTCAGTTGACTTAATTTGTCACATTTGTATGTGTGTGTGTGTGTGTTTTCTATTTTCTTTGATTGACATTGACAGTCATCATCATCATCATCATTATCGATAGTAATAAAGTCAATCAACTGTGTGCGTGTGTGTGTGTGGATTTTTCATCCCCATTCAAAACATCATCTTCATCAACATAATAATCAAAACTTTGATTGGCGGGGGTGGTAAAATTTTTCTTTTTTTCTGTCTGTCTGTCTGTCTGTTGAATGATGAATGATTTGTTTTTTTTTCGACGGAGAAGGAGGAGTACGAGGGGACAATAGTAAATTGTAGGTGGTTAATGGAAATGGTACACCAAGAAAAAAAAAAGTTTCGTGATATTGATGATTTGATTATAAGTCAATTAAAGTCAATTATTGAATTGACTACAATTTGATCAAATACAATGCACAAAAAAATAGACAACGAATGTAAAAAAAAACATTAAATTGAAGAAAGTTGAATGAAAAACTAGGTCTTGATGAAACCATGAGGTCAATCCAAGGGTGTTCATTGACATTTTTTACCAATTTTCTTTTCATCAACATTGACCACTTATACTATATACACACACAATAAATAACATATATATACCGGTGTTATTATCACGAACGATAGAGACACGCGTACACTAATTTAACTCAATCATCTAATGAAAAAAAAAAATTGTCTATCATTGCCAACCCAGTATATATCAAACAAAACGGACTACAACAACAACAACAACAACAAAAATCAAGTCCGGATGCAGGTGATGTTTCTATTATTATGATGAAATACTCAAAGACACTCAATGAGTGAAAACCAGCGACTTGTAAATTCGAATATGAGAGAAAAACAAAAATCCATCTTTTTCGCTGGCTAGCTATTATTATTTGCTTGAATAAATTCAGAATTTTTCATTTTTGGAACTTTTTTTCTGTCCTTTTTGAACGTTTGTTTTCGTTAAAATTAATAATATTCTTGTCACTTTTTTTTCTCAAAGAAAAAAAATTTCAGAAACTTTTTCTTTTCACTTCCTTCCTCGATTCAATGAAATTTTTTTTTCGCTTCAATATGTACAGCGAAATTTTTTTTTTGAAAATTTTCATACATTGTTCCAATCAATCGATCATAATCGTTTTGATTGAATAAATAAATAACCAATCAATTTTTTTTTTTTTGGTTTGGTTCACCAAATCCACACTGTCCACTGTGTACTGACATAAATTCTGGTCATGAACGAAATTAAAAAAAAACTTGAATTTGAATTTCATGAACAAAGAATAAAACCAGGAAAATTCCAAAGAAATTCCATTATCAGCAAAACAACCAGAGAAAAAAACCCGCTCAGCCACACACACATTATTCATTGACGGTTATTCAATGGAAATTGTTCGAGAAGAACCACAGAAAAAAAAACAGAAACCAAAATTACAATATTTGGTCACACATACACACAGATGTGTGTGTGTGTGTGTATGTTTGTCTCATTCTGGAACTAACAAATTTAATTTTAAAGAATAAAAAAAATCGCTGTCTTTGTCGATTATCATCATTGTTGTATATTCACAGAGAAAGAAAATTCTTAGAATTTGCTGTCGTTATCACTAACAACAAAAATGCAAATCAGAAAAGAAAAATCATTCAAAAGTCGCAATGAACATTTGTTTCAAATTTAAATTAAAAATTTAAATTTTTTATTTCGTCAGAATTGAACGCACACACACACACACACGCTTTTCACTTTGAAAGTTGTCATTGCATTTTTTTCTTTGATTCTGCCACTTTTGTTATGTACGTTGTTGTTGTTGTTGTTGATCATTATCGATTGAGCGAGAGAGAGACAAATATTTTTCAATTTAAAATTGGCTATTGTCAATGTTAATTTTCTTCTTCTCGGTTTTTTTTGTTGTTGTTGTCAATTTGTAAGCGACAAAAAAAAATTCGCTCTTTTAAAATTTTCTGCCCATATGGTGTGGTGCATAGTGTGTGTGTGTGTGTGTGTTGTCTGTAAATTGATACCTGTGTTTGACTTGCTTTGATAATGGAAAATTGGCTAGTCGTTTTCAATAAGAGAATTTTTGTTCATTTTTTTTTTTTTGGCCACACACTACATTTTACAAATTCAGAATTATTGTAATTTGCTAATGATGATGATTATTTTATGATTTGAAAGAAAGGAACAAAAAAAAACATGTCCATAGATTTCCGGTCCAAAATGGTTTTTTTTCAAATTTCATTATTGCACTGAATTCAACAATAACGTAATGGTTGGCATTATAGCGGTTTTGGATCACTGATGATGATGATGATGATGATGATCTGATCTGGTTTGGTTTGATCATTAAAAATGATTCTTAATGCAGGAGGTTTTTTTTTTCGGTGGGGAAAAAAATTCCTTGTTGTTGAGACTGAATAAATGGATTTACGAACCAATCAAGTTAACTTGATCGAATGATTGATTGATTGTGTATTTGTTCGATGATCGATGGTCTTGTTTATATTTGAATTTTTTTTTTTTTGCATTTGATATTGATTTTTAATTGATCTTAATCGTTTTCTTTTTTTTTTATCGTTCAAATATTATATAGCAAAAATAATCACTGATCCTGATGATTTGACGATATTGACTAAAAAATCTCAATATATAACTCAAATAGATCTCATACATGAACTAAAACTTCAACAACAGCAGCAGCGACATTCAAATCAACGTTCCTATTATGGCCTGTTATTGGATCAACAGAGAAATGTCCTACATTTGTCATCGACAGACAACGATAATGATAATGATAATGGTGGTGACCACAGCAACAACATTGATTCATTTTCGAATCGACAGATTCGTTTTAGTGATGATATTAGCCGTAGGGCAATACAAGTTATAAAAAACAATAATGATGTGACATTTTTGATTACAATCAAACAACATCGTCATAATACTGGTGTTATATTTGCATTTACAAATGGAATTCATAGGTGAGTGTCAGTTTTTTTTTCCATAGTCAAGAAATTCTTTTATCATTGTGAAGAAAAAAAAGAAAAATAAAAACGAGATTGTGTGATAATGATAAAAAAAATAACAAAATTAATTATACCAAAAATCGATAATTCAATTTTTTTTCTTTCTTTTCATCATTCAGAATTCTTGAAATACAAAGCAGTGGCCGACGTAAAGAACTACGTTTCCATTATCGTGTCAACGATGCAATCTATTCTGAATCATTTGATGTTGATATTGTCGATGATAAATGGCATAAAATTGCTATAACAATTAGTTATTCACAATTAGATCTATATATTGACTGTGTTCATCGATATCGTCGTACAATACAGCCATTAGATAGATCGTCATTCGTCCATAACGATAATGATAATATTACATTATGGCTAGGACAACGTGGTCCAAATCATTTCATTTATAAGGTATGTGTGTGTCATGAATGATTATTTTTATTTTTTAGACATTATGCAATCAATCATTAGTGATAGATGAAAAAAAAAAAAATTCCGACCACAAAATTGAATAGTTTCGCTAACAAATACAGAATGATGATTAATATAATTGAAAATGTTGTTGAAATTGAATCGAATCGAATCGGTAGTCGGAAGAAGTGTTAATCTTCTCTTCTCGTTTGCAGATTAATTAATTGAAATTATTATTAATTTTTTTTTCATGCACATATATAGGGCTATATTGGCGATATAAGAATCATTTCATCGGTCAATGGTTTCCGTACGCAATGTCCATCCGATCTTGGTGCAGGTAATTCTTCATTTTTGTTATCTATGTGTTTTTGATCAAAATTATTTGTTCATTTCTATCATAAATTTTTCTTACCTTTTACACACTTATTTATTATATATATTACAGCTTGTCCAACATGTGGCCAATTCAAAGAATTAAAAGATTCAATCGACCATTTAGAGAATACTGTTAAATATTTGACTGAAAAGGTAAATAATATGTTGAATATATTTATCATCCATGAATAATCATTTTCACACATTTTATCTAAATAACAAAAAAAATGTTGAATACGAAATTCAATTTGAATGATTGGATGAAAATTTAATCAATTTGATTTCACTTTTTCATTGATTTTTTTTTCGTTTAAATTTTTTCTTACAAATTGATGATTTTTTTTTCACCTGAATTTTTACATTCTAGCTACTAATGATGGAACAACGATTATCAAATCAACAACAACAACAACAACAATGTACATGTACATGTTATATGAACGGTACAAAATATCTGAATGGTCAGGAATGGAATTCCAATGATAATTGTCATCATTGTCGATGTTTAGTAAGTTTTTTTTTCTCCAGTCACACATTCAATTAAATCACATAAATCATTTGTTGAAATTTAATACCGTCACGTTTCTGTTGTTGTTAAGTGTGTGTGTGTGTTTTGATGTTGAATGATTCTCAGATGACAGCGAAAGCAATCAAATCTTTCTTTAAACCTTACTTTCTTTAAATGTCATCATTTTTTTTTCTTTTCGTATTTTCCAATAGGATGGTTCGGTAACTTGTTATCAGATAAAAGATTGCCAACATGACAATCATAAGCCACAATCATTTCAAATTTCTGATTTACCATTGCCATCGTTATCGTTGCCGAATAAAAGTGTGAGAAATTCATCATCATCATCATCATCATCGTCGTCGTCGTCGGCATCGTCTTCGTTGTCAAGTGAGTTTTTTTGTTGATTCTAAAATTATGATCTCACCCGCTGATCACCATCATTGTCGTCATTGATCAACGAACCCATCCATCAATCGAAATCATTGCCAATCTTCTTTCAAACAGTTTTTAATTCATTCAAATCTGTTTTTTTTTCTCTAGGATGTCTTTACAACAAGAAAATTTATTACGAAGGTGAATCCATTGAACGTTGGACGAATAAAAATCAACCAAATCGTGCTAAATGTTTTGAATGCATATGTCGATCACGTTCAATGAGATGTAAAGAAAAACATTGTCCAGAATTGAATTGTTCACCATCAAAACGAATACAACCGGATGATAAATGTTGTATGATTTGTGAAACGGATTTCTGTTCACTTGGCCATGATTGTCATCCAATGGCTGAATGCCATAATTTAGCCACCAATTATACATGCCATTGTAAATCCGGATTCAAAGGAAATGGACACACCTGTCAGGATATTGATGAATGTAATATTCCTAATGATCATGATGATGATGGAACTACACTCGATATGATGATAGTAAAACAATCGAATAATAATAATAATAATATCTATCGACATAAATGTAACACTGCTACATCGATATGTGTCAATAAACCTGGTTCATATGAATGTCGTTGTAAATCCGGTTTCATACCACAGCCAGGCAATCAATATGAATGTATCGGTAAGTGAATATATTGAATTGAATTGAATTCTATTAAATTTTATTGGCAAACATCATTATGATGATTCCGGTATTGATTCGGCGAAAAACATCCGTTATCTCTATTATCGAATACTAATCGTGTTTAGAGAATTTCAATTGACATAAATCAAATGGCCTTTTTTTTATTGCCAATTTTTTTTCCTCTGAAGTGTGGCAATTAAATGATAAATGGAAATTTTGTTTGTTTGTTTGTTTGTCTGTTTGTTCATTATAGACATTGACGAATGTTCTAATGGTCAACATAATAATTGCAGTCAAAATGCCATTTGTTTGAATCAACCTGGCACTTATCAATGCCAATGTAAACCAGGTTATGAAGGTGATGGATTCAATTGTAAACGTAAGTGTGTGTATAATAACGATATATATACTGATTTTAACCATTACCATGACCATCATCATCGGGTCATATACCTTTTTATTATTATTATTATTATTGTTGGTCAATTTGAGTTAATTTTTTTTCTTGCATACATACAACAGCTGTATGTAAAGATTCATGTCTGAATGGTGGTCATTGTCAAGCACCAAACACGTGTTCATGTCGAAAAGGTTATTATGGTCATCGATGTGAAGAGGGTAAGTAAATACCATCATTATATTTTTCAATATATATATATGGATTATCATATGGTGAACGAATAGAACAAAATAATTGATTTGAATTCCATATTCATTTTTTTCACATTTTAGATATTGATGAATGTGAATTGGGTATCCATCAATGTCCATTGAATTCAAAATGTATCAACAAGTTTGGCTGGTATCGATGTGAATGTAATCAAGGTTTTGAAGATCGTAAAGAATTATTATCACATGATGATGAATTCAATTTTGAATGTTTAGGTTTGTTGTTGTTGTTGTTTCTATTAAATGATGATGAATTTTTTCATTTTTTTCACGTTTCATACAATTTTAGATGTAGACGAATGTATCGATCCATTGTTGAATAGTTGTCCAAGTAATTCTAAATGTATCAACATACAAGGAACATATCGTTGTGATTGTAATAATTTAAATAACAATATTGTTGATGATGATGATGGTGGTGGCAATCATACCTCTCATTCCACTATGAATGTATCATTTGATGATTCATTTTGTCCAAAAACATGTATCATCAACGGAATGGAACGTAAAAATGGTGAACAATGGCCAGCTAGTTTAAAAGATCCGTGTACCATATGTCAATGTGTCAAAGGAGTTGTCAGTTGTGAACCAAAAAAATGTGATTGTTCCCAAAAGAATTCAATAGATTCACAATGCTGTCCAGAATGTCATTCATATAGTAGTAAAAAAGTTTGTTACCATCAAGAAAATCATCATCTTGTTTATAAAAATGGTGAACGTTGGACATATGAATGTGAAACCTGTGAATGCATGGTAATGTCATTCCAGTTTTTTTTTTTTTGTTTTTTTTATTCTTTTCTCACGTTTCATTCTTTATTGCTCATAGAATGGCGAAATCGATTGTTGGAATGAATGTCCACAAATCAATTGCTTAAATGCTATACGAATCCCTGGTGATTGTTGTTTACGTTGTGAAGATGATCCCTGTCAATCTGAATCATCATCGTCATCATCATCTTCATTGAAATCTGATTCATTAATTTACAATAATTTTACCGGTCTAGCTGGTTGTCGCCATCAAAATCATCAATATCGATCTGGTCAACAAATTGATTTGATCAAAGATAAATGTGCCACTTGTTTATGTCAGGTAAGTAACTAGTGTCTGGTCAGACAAGAAAAAAAACAAATATATTTATCACCATCCACAATCAAACATATAATAATCGATGCTAACTAATTTGAAATCATATTCTCTCTCTCTCGCCCGCTCGCTCTCTCTCTCTTCAAATTAACTAATAACCATTTATTTATATAAATCAATTTCACATTTCAACCAGGATATTTTCATATAGAAAATCCTTTAATTAATATCATTATTCTTTGATGACTAATCCTCCAACGAAAAAAAAAATCATCTAGATCTTAATAACATACATTTCATTCAATGTGTTGGTGGTTTACCATCATCATCAGCAATCTTTATTTTTCTACCAATTTCAGTTTTGATGATGATCACAACTAATGGATGTATAATGATGATACATATCTACTTGAGAAAATCCTAAATTCTGATTTTTGTGTATATGTTTTGTTTGCCAGTAATCATCCAGAATTAATCATCAACAACAACAACAATTTGTGTGTAGTAATTATTATTTTAGATTTCAATCAGCTAAAAAAAAAAAAATCATACACCAAACCAAATTAGATCAAAGTAAACATGTAGAGAAATGCACACTCACCACCACCACCACATTTTCAATTTCTGTTGTTTTGATTTTGATTCGATTTTTTACTTTTTTTTCTGAAAAAAAATTTTTTCTTTCTAAATTCGAAATCTGTTTTTTTGTTGAGTTTTTGATTTGTTTACACAATATGTTCACCATTATCATCATCGTCATCATCATCGAACATTTTGTGGGATTTTTTTTTCGTGAAAAGCATTTTTAGGTATTTGTAGTTTTTTTTCACCCATTTTTTTTCTTTGTCGGCATTATCCCAATCTGTATGCCTGTTGATGATGATGATGATGATCGGATTTATTTTTCAAGAATGGAACAAGAAAATATTTTTAGAAATTTCCGATATTCTAGACAAAGATTCTTTTTTTAAAAAAATTAGATTTAGATCACCATACCATAGACTAATAATAAACAAATTGAACCAAAATAAATAACCTACCCCCTTCCACTTTTTTCCCCTTTTTTCGAATTCATCAATTTCGATCCATAATATCATCGTCAATGTAGATGTCAAAATTGTTTGTTGAACAATTACGATTATCATCGATATTACCATCTATAACCATATCATCGTCATCAATTGATTCATCGTCGTCATCAGCCGTAACATCATCATCGTCCGCATCATCCGCATCCCATGTCCCATTACTAATACTAACAATAGGAACCAAACCATTTGTGACCATAATAACAATTTTAGTGTTAATAATAATGAGCACGATTTCCGGTAATATTATATTTAATTATAAAAAATTGATCACACTGTGTTTGTGTTGTATGAATGAATTTTTTTGCACACACCGATTCTGAATGTTTGCACCTCCTCACTTTCTTGAATCACTTTTTTTCTTTCTGTTTGAGAAAAACAATCAATCTTTTTTTACGGTCATTTTTTTTGATCATTATCAGATTGTTTATCTTTATCATCATCAACATCATCAATGTTCATTATTCATTTCAATCATTCACACCTAATCATTCAACATGTCACCTCTGTTCTTTTTTTTTTGTTTCGAAAAAAACCGTTTTCTTTTTTTTCCATTTAAATGCATGAAATGAATTCGAATGAATTTATTTATTTTATTTGATTTGATTTTAATCACGCATACACACACACACAATGCACACTTATCACTTGAATTTGTTGGTTGGTTGTCAAATGATTGCGAATTGAAATGAAAAAAAAATCAGTATAATTTCATCATCACCATCTTTATCCATTTTGAGATGTTTATCTTTCACATTATTGATTGCACCCTTATTATTCATGTATCTAAATTGGAATTTTTTTTTGTTTCCTTTCTTTTTCTATATCTCTGATCTCTGATCATCATCTATATAATCTCTGACGATAATGATGTTGATGATAATGATGAATTTGACTGGTCAAATGTTAATATTCAGATCATTCATCTTCACACACACACACATGCCACACAGCCAAAAAAAAAAAAAACATAATGTTCAATGGAAAAGAAATGTATGTGGTTTTGTTGTTGTTGTTGTTAATCAGCATCATTTTCATTATCATTATCATCATCATCATTATTTTCGTTTCTTTTTCGTTATTTCAATTTCCTATTGCATCTTGTTATTTGTCATTTATTATGATGATGATTAATATAATCCTTGTATTAATAATATAAATCCACCTCTGTTAATTTTGACATTTGAGAGGAAATTATCTTTCTTTCTTTTTTTTTCTTTTTTTTCTGGTTGTTTCCTTATTTCATTATCGGATTTTTTTCCACTTTTTTTTATCACTGATTCTAATTCGTTGTTTTTTTTTATTTTTCCCTTTTCAGAATGGACGTCTTTGTTGTTCATACACTTTTCCATGTTTGAATGAATCAAACAATCATTATGATGATCATCATCATTCAAGATCATCTTCAATTTTAACCGATAAATCTGCTATAAGCAGATCAACAGATAATGTTGTTACCATTGATAATAATGATAATGATGATAATCATCGAAAACATTATCATGACAAACATCATGGTGATATTGAAAAATATTTTCATTTGATCAATGAAGATTTTCCATACAGTGGATTATTAATAAAATCATTCATGAATAAAGTACTCAATCAACAACAACAACAACAACGATCAACGGAAAAATTATCAAGAATTTCATCTGATAAAAATGAAAATGAATTTGATGATGATCGTATCAATAGTATTGATGATGGTGATAATATTCCATTGTTGCCAATGAATTCGAATCAAAGATTAGCAATTAAACAACAACAAAATCAACAACAACAACAACAACAACAACAATTCATGATGACATGGATGATGGTGGCACCAATATGGATGATTGGTCACATGAAATGGCTTCCAATTGATTAATTTAAATTCACTCAACAACCACCACCACCACCCACGACATTCAGCATTTCAAATTCTAGTCTTGCAAATTCATTTTTCACTCGTAAAAAAAAAGTATTTCCAATCCAACTACAATCTTTGATGAATGAAACAAAGAAAGTAGCAGAAAAAAAAGTATTATTACACAATGCTCACACATTTGTATAGACGAAAAACTGGAATGGGGAAAAAAATTTTTATTGTTGTTGTTGTTGTTGCCGTTGTTCAAAAACACCATTTGGTTCATTGTGTTCAAATCAATCGATTCAAAAACAAAACAAACAAATTAATTAGTAGTCCAAAAATTTTTTTTTCTTCCATTTTGTTAATTATCATCATCCTGTATCTTCTAATAATTATATTTCGTCACATTTCGTGAATCAATCTTTGTCTGTAATTTTTTTTTATGGATATTCCAATCAATCAATCCATTATATAATCAATCAATTTGTTATCAAATTCAAAATGAAATTGTAAATAGAAAAATTTTTTTCCCCGTTTCTATCTAGTAGTAATGATGATTCTATTATTATGTAATAAAATAAATTTTACTTTCTTGATGATTGAACAAAACAAAACAAAAAAATTCGAATGAATTCAATTTACACATAATTTAATTTTTTGCTCATTGAAAAATTTTATTTTTGTTTTTAATTTGGTTTCATTCATTTTTTTCTCTCTCTCAATGAATGATGTGATCGAATAGAAATTGAACAGAAAATTGATATATCTGATTACTTGAAATAATAACGATCATCACTTATAATACGATGATGCCATGGTATGATGATGATGATATATTGATATACTTGATTATGTATATCATGATAATTGGGTCGAGCATCTTTGGGAATTCAAATTAATTTTCAAAAAAAAAAAAAAAAAAAATCAGATTTATCATGTTGATAGTTGTCATCATCATCATCATCGTTTGAATGATTGAATGATGTTGATGATGATGATGATCAGTATCGGATGTTTTTTTTTCCATTTTGGTTGCAAATCATCTGTAGTAACAATTTTTTTTTTTCAAAAAAAAAGTAAATTGTTTAGCAGATAAGACAAGAAAAACCAAAATATTCAAACTTTTCTTCTTCTTCTTCATCTTCTTCTCTTTTTTTTCAAGGTAATCTTGTTATCAGTAGCTTATATAGTGGTTTATAGATTGTAAATTGTCACAGCGTAGTGTGTGTGTGTACGAAATATCCAAAAAAAAATGAATTGATAATGAATGATGAAATCTAATCATTCGGTGGTGGTGGTGGTGATGGTAGCTACTGAAAAATTGTTCATTGAAAATTTTATTGGAAAAAAAAGTCAACAAAAATCAATCCAATCAATGTGGGCAAATCGTTTCGTTATCACACACAAGGTGGTATTGCTAGTAAAATGTGATTTGTTTTTTTTTTTTTGATATAAATCATCATCGAACGAAATATGAATCGAATCATCAAATATTTTTTTTCGATCAGAAGATTTTTATTTTAAATTAATTGTTTGTTTGTTTGTTTATCGTTCGTTTATTTTAGTCTTGTTATAATTCATTATTATCAAAGTGATAAATTTGATCATCAGTGCAATCATAACGATATGATGATGATGATGAACAGCAGACAATTTCTGTCACCATTTGAAAGTATCGAATTTTTTTTTTTAGTTTGCGTTTGGTGATCTTTTGAATATATTGCTAACCAGTTAATCAACATTATTTACTTTGTTGGAATCGTTATATAAAAATTTTTGTTGTTGTTGTTGTTGTTGAAATTGAAATTTATATATCGATTATGGCTTTCATGACGAATATTATTCGATTCTATCAAAATCCAGCATTATCAAATGATCAAGAGAAAAATCTTCTTAATAAAGTGCGACAACAATTCAAAAATGGTGGTGATGAAATTATTAAATCAGTTCAAACGGAATTTTGTTTCAACATTGAACAACAAGGTAAATGAATTTTCGAAATAAAAATTAGATGAATTTTCAAACATTTTCTCAATTATTCAAAAAGCTCAATTATCGTCCGATGAACTTTCGAAAATTGAATGGATTTTAACACCAGATTTCAATGTAAAATTGGATCGCGAATCATCACGTCTGCGGTCATTGAATTTATCGTCGTCCAAGAATACTGTATTGATTGAAATTGGACCCAGATTGAATTTCAGTACAGCATTATCTACTAATGCGGTTTCTATTTGTAAAAATATTGGACTTGATAAGAAAATATCCCGAATTGAAAAAAGTACAATTTATTTGTTTGAAATTGAGGTAGAAAAAAAATATTTGACATTTTGTTTGTTTAAAATTTAAATATGGAAATAATTTTTTTTTAAAAAATTCATTGATACACAGAGATCGATGACCAAGGAACAGGAAAATCAACTTGTAGAATCATTACATGATCGAATGACTGAACAACGTTATCATAAACCGATTGAATCATTTAAATTGCCAACAAATGATGATAAATGGTTTGAAATTGATGTAATTGGTCGTGGTGAACAAGCATTGAGAGAAGTGAGCGAACAATTGGGTCTTGCATTCGATGATTGGGACATTTCATACTATTGTTCATTGTTTAAAGATAAACTTAAACGAAATCCAACATCTGTTGAATGTTTTGATTTAGCTCAATCGAATTCAGAACATTCTCGTCATTGGTTTTTCAAGGTAATTTATTTGTTAATAAATCAATAATGCTGATGACATGATGACATGATAATTTGTCATTTTAGGGACGAATTTTTATCGATGATAAAGAAGTACCTCAGTCGTTGTTTGGTATGGTCACCAGTACACAAGATAATACCAATGATAATAATGTTATAAAATTCAGTGATAATTCATCGGCTATTCGTGGATTTTCCGATCTGAATATTTTGATACCGAAAGATTCTACTCAAGCATCATCGATGGAATTGAAAAAAGATCAAACAAGACATATTATTTTCACTGCTGAAACACATAATTTTCCAACCGGTGTGGCTCCATTTCCTGGTGCTACTACTGGTACTGGTGGACGAATTCGTGATGTTCAAGCTGCTGGACGTGGTGCACATGTCATTGCAGCTACGGCTGGCTATTCATTTGGTAATCTTCATATTCCTGATTATCATCTTGATTGGGAAGATGATAATGAAATTTATCCACATAATTTTGCATCACCATTACATATTTGTATTGAAGCTAGTAATGGTGCCTCCGATTATGGTAACAAGTTTGGTGAGCCAGTTTTGGCTGGTTTTGCTCGAAGTTTTGGACAACGAATTCCGAGCAGTAAGTTCATTTTAGTTTTTAAAAAAAAAACATATCACATTATATAATTTATGTATGTTTTGATAAGATGAACGAATCGAATATATTAAACCGATTATGTTTACTGGTGGTATCGGTACAATTGATGATGGTTATGTCCAGAAAAATCATGCTGAAATCGGTATGGATGTTGCGAAAATTGGCGGGCCTGTTTATCGTATTGGTGTTGGTGGTGGTGCTGCTAGTTCCACTGAAGTTCAAGGTAGCGAAGGAAGTGAAAGTTTAGATTTCAATGCTGTACAACGAGGTGATGCAGAAATGGAACAAAAATTGAATCGATTGATTCGTGCTTGTATTGAACATCAAAAAGGAAATGTTATTGAATCGATTCATGATCAAGGTGCCGGTGGCAATGGAAATGTATTGAAAGAGATTAGTGAACCGATGGGAGCTAAAATTCATTGTAATAAATTTACATTGGGTGATCCGACCATCAATACTATGGAACTTTGGGGAGCCGAATATCAGGAAAGCAATGCTATTCTTATACGAAAAGAAAATCGTGCAATTTTGGATAAAATAAGTAAACGAGAAAAATGTCAAGTTGATTATGTTGGTGAAATTACTGGTGATCATCATATTACATTGGTTGAAAATGAAACGGCTCAAAAACATCCAGTACATTTAGATCTTGAACTTGTTTTGGCATCGATGCCAAGAAAGAATTTCCGTTATCAACAAAAACAAATTCCATTGAAACCATTGGTAATTCAAGGAGAAGATAAAACAAGATTAATGATTGAATCATTGCATAAAGTACTTCGATTGCCATCTGTTGCTTCGAAACGTTACCTGACAACGAAAGTGGACCGTTGTGTTACTGGACTTGTTGCGCAACAACAATGTGTTGGTCCTCAACATACTCCCATCGCTGATTATGCATTGATAGCGTTGAATTATTACACATATCATGGCAGTGTTACATCGATCGGTGAACAACCAATTAAAGGATTAATTAGTCCTGAAGCCAATGGAAGACTATCGGTTGCCGAAGCTGTTACTAATTTGATGTTTTGTGCCATCACTGAAATGGCCGATATTAAATGTGAAGGAAATTGGATGTGGCCAGCTAAATTGGATGGTGAAGGAGCATTATTAGTTCAAACTTGTGAAGCTATGTGTGAATTTATGAAACAAATCAACATTGGTATCGATGGCGGTAAAGATTCCTTATCGATGGCTGCTAAAGTTAAACTTCCGAATGGTTCAGAAATTGTCAAATCACCAGGTACATTGGTGATTAGTGCCTATGCTCCTGTTCCGGATATTCGAATTAAAGTAACACCAGAAATGAAAATTGATGGCTGTAGTTTGATATATGTTAAACTAAATGGAAACGATAGATTCAGACTCGGTGGATCAGCATTAGCTCAAGTTTATAAACAAATTGGAAATGATTGTCCAGATATGGAAGATCCATCTCATTTGAAAAATGGTTTTGCTATCGTTCAAAAATTGATCAAAAACAAAATCTGTACTGCTGGTCATGATGTTAGTGATGGTGGTCTGATTGTATGCTTGTTGGAAATGGCATTCGTTACCGATTGTGGTATTGATGTTGCCATACCAAGTTTCGGTCAAGATCCATTGAATGTATTCTTTGCTGAAGAATGTGGTGTTATCATTGAAATTAGAGACGAGAACGTGCAATCTGTTTTGAATGATTTCAAATCTGCCAATATTATTGCCCATAAAATTGGTAAAGCTATACGTAAAAAAGATGTTGTCATCCGTTTCGACAATACTGTTATGATTTTGGTAAAAAAAATTTCTTTCCGCTTTCACATTTGTTTCATGTTGTGTTTAATTTAATTTTTTAGGGTCATATGTTCACATTACGTGATGTTTGGGAGGAAACCAGTTTTCAATTGGAAAATCATCAAGCTAATCCAGAATGTGTTATGCATGAAAAGAATGGTTTGAAATTCCGTAAAACACCAAATTGGAAATTAACTTTTGAAACGGCTAAAATTAATTTGAGTAAGTCGTAATAAAATTTTTATAAACTTTCATTTATAATCTTTTTCCACATTTATTCATTAGATATTGATTCACATATTACTAGTGCTCCAAAAGTTGCCGTACTTCGTGAAGAAGGTATTAATGGTGATCGTGAAATGATTGCCAGTTTCTTTATGGTTGGATTCGATGTAGTGGACATTACCGTTACCGATTTGATTAGTCAAACGGTCAATTTGGATCATTTCCGTGGATTGATTTTCCCGGGTGGTTTTTCGTATGCTGATGTTTTGGGTAGTGCTCGTGGTTGGGCTGCAACTCTTAAATATAATTCAAATGTTGAAACACAATTACAACGATTTAAACATCGAAACGATACATTTTCACTTGGTGTTTGTAATGGCTGTCAATTGATGGCGCTTCTGGGCTGGGTTGGCAGTAAATCAAATGGTTTGAAATTTTTTTTTCTCGATATTGATATAATTTTAGTTTTTTTCTGTTAAATATTAGGAACTCAAGGTACTTTGTTAACTCATAATACTTCGGGTCGATTTGAATGTCGTTTCACTTCGGTTATGATACCTGAGAAAACACCTGCTATGATGCTTAATGGTATGCAAGGAAGTGTAATGGGTGTTTGGGTTGCTCATGGTGAAGGTCGATTCGTTTTTGAAAACGATCAGATTAAGAAATCGGTTAAAGATTTTGTCTCATTGGTCTATGTGGATGATGATAATAAACCGACTACAATGTAAGATGACAATGTGTAATTGATGTAATTTTCTTTAAATTTTTATCTTTTCAACATTCATAGTTATCCAATGAATCCAAATGGAAGTGTTGATGGTATCGCTGGTATTTGTAGTACAGATGGACGTCATTTAGCAATGATGCCACATCCAGAACGAGCAACACTTTCATGGCAATGGCCATACATTCCATCAACAATGGAACATATGAAACATTCATTGGCCAGTCCATGGGCAAAAATGTTTGAAAATGCATACAAATGGTCAATGGCCACTAGAATTTGATTTATTTTGTGTACAGAAACAAACAAACAAACAAAAAAACCAAAAATTTTTTAATTAATAATCAATTAAAGTAGAAATTTTTTTTATACAATAAAATTCGAAATTCAAAATAATAATTAAATGAATCATTTGCATTCAAACAGAAAATTTTGAATTGACATAAATTTTACATAATGATAATTTTGTTTGATTAAAATCATAATAAGCTTGAAAATGAAATAAAATATTTGTCAATACAAATACATATTCTGAAGCGGCAAATAATGAATATACACCAGTTTCACAATAATTATTATGTCGTACATAGAAAAATAGAGCAAAAATCCATGCAAATGTATTGGTGAAGAAGATTTTCATTTTAAATTTTGACCACAATTTATCTTGTAATAAATGGATTAACATTCCCAAAAATGATGTCGATATGAATAGTAAAAAACAATTTGCATGAAATACTGGAAAAAAATGAATGAAGAAATTTAAAATTTGAATTGAATTTTTGGTTTTTTGTTTTACTTACGAAATAATTCAGTCGATGAAACAACACTTAATCCAAGTAATGCACTGATTTCAATCCAATTGATCATCAATAATGTTTTTGAATCATGAAATGCTCTGTAATAGATATATGATACAATATAACGTGGTGATGAATGCAATGCTATTGTTGTACGCCATAAATATTTTTGTGGCGAAAATGAGCCAATTGATGCACTGACTGAAGGTAAATATTCGGCAACACCACAATGTGTAGAGGTTGAATCAACAAAATTGAACATTAATGACCAGAAAATACAAAATATAAAGCCAAACATTGGTAGGGCTGATGTTATCAACGATAATCGTTGTAACGAAACTATTCCCAATTCATCCTGGAATTGTTGTTGTTGTTGTTGTTGTTGTTTCGAAACAACGCCTGTTGACGATAATAATGGTTGATAACGATTTCTTGGACCATAGAATAGTCGAAGTAAAATTTTTTCAGCTAACAACCTAAATGGCATTACAATGATATTGATAAAAATGTTAACATCGCAGTAATAACCACCCATATAGATAGAATTAAAAATTAAAGCCAAAATTAACAGAAAAAAAATTAAATTTTTTATGATTAAAATTAAATCATCATTTCAGATTGTATATGTGGAGAGTAACGAGCTCTATGAATGACAACAATAGTTTCGGTTTTTTTTTCAACTTTGCCATGTGATTTTGGACAGCATTTCGCATTAATTAAATTTTTTTTCTGTTGCTTTATCATCCTCATCATCATCATCATCATCATTCACTCGAAAATTCGGTTTTTAGAGAATTTAACCGTTTATTATTTCGTTCATTGTTTGTTAATTAATTCGTCCATGAAAGAGACGAACACAGACACACAATGTCGTCCGAAACAAATGTTCAATCTGATTTAACAAAAGAACAACAACAACAACTTCAAGAAGAAGATATTGCCATCGTTGATGATATTACTGTACTTGTATGTTTAATAAAATTTTAGAATTTAAAATTTTCAATGTTTTTTTTTATTTATCATAGGATAAACCTAATGATGATGGTGATGAGCCTAAAAATATTGAAATCGCCGACATAGATGGTGATAATGTTTGTATATAATTCATGAGTCAAATGGATGAATAGTTTTTCATTCTAATTTTTTTGCTTTCACAAATTTCATAGATTGTAGCACCGATCCAGAAGGAATCGGAAAAAAGTACTGCTGAAAATGTTCCATCTGGAACGGTGGCCAAGATAATTACTATTATGAATGATGATATCGATGATGATGACGATGATGTAAATATGATGTTTTTTTTTGTTCAAATTTATTTGATGATTCTTAATTATATATAAAATGATAGGAAGAATTCGAAGATGAAACTATTGTCGAAAGATTGATTGGTTTGACTGAAATGTTTCCAGAACCGGTACGAAATTATACCTGGAAATTTAGTACTGGTTCATATAGCTTTGCAAAAGCTTTCTATGAATTTAGCCGTTCAGCTGTATGGATCATATCGACAACGGCAATCATTTTGGCCGCACCGGTTCTAATTGAAAGTGAAAAATCTCAATTAGAAGAAATGAATCGTCAACAACAACGTCAGGTTTGTATATATTGTTTATGATCCAGAATTATCGAAATTATTAACACGTTTTTTTCCAACTAGATCTTGTTGGGACCAAGTGCATCAGGTGCTACACCATCTTTAACACCACCAACATTGAAATAAACAACACAGGTCAACATTATAATATGATAAAAATCAATCAAATATCGCCAATATAGTTATCACAAAATGGCCATATATTTACTACTTTTTTTTCTCGATAAAACAAAAAAAACCAACAACGCCTTTCTATTTCGCTCAAAAAAAAAAAAATTTGGACCATGTGAATCGATGAATTTGTTTTGTTTTGTTTGCCCACCACCCTTTCTCAAATATTCAAACAAAATGTATTATTTCCGTTTCTGTTCACATCGTTGTTTCGTCATTGTTTCGTCATACTAAACATCGAAAAAATTGAATATTTTTTTCCCATATAGAATAGCTTTGCAGTTCCATTTAATAGTCAAGCAAAAAAAAAAATTTCCTGAAGAGAAAAAATATTGATCCAATCATCATTTTGTTGTATAAAACAATAATAATAATAATAATAATGTATAGAAAGTCAAATAAAAACTATTCTTTTAGTCGTTTGTTTCTTTTTTGATTTTTTTTTTTGTTTTCAAATAATAATGATTAACCATGAAATGAGGATGATGATGATGATGATGATGATTCGATTTTGTATTCACAAACCGATTCCATCCATGTGTTTATTATTATTTCCCATCCAGGGATGATTGGTAAATTATAAAATTTAATGAATCGTCATTTCATGGTTATTTATCGTCATCGTCGTCGTCGTTGTTGTTGTTGTTGTTGTTGTTGTGTGTTTGTCATTGTCGGTCGGACGTCGTATTTTTTATATTTATAGCCATGTTGTATACAACACAAGACATTGATCTATCCAATCTTTCATCTGTTTGAATGATGAATTTCAATAGAAAATTCATTCATTCATTCATTCATTCACCATGAACAAAAAAAAAATGTCTAAATAACTAATAATTTCTGCTTGATTGTCATTCTCTTGTTCCATCCATCCATACATCATCTCTCATCTCTCTCTCTCTCTATCTCAATTTATTTTCGATGGATTTAATTGAATATTTAAAATACACCATTTTTGTTTGGATTGTTTTGTCGATGATTCGTAGTGATTTGTTCAATACGTGTCCAAATTGTTTTTTCCTTGGCTCACACACACACAGACAGACATAAATTGAATTTAAATTTTTTCCAATTATTCAATGGCAATTTTTGAATGATTTGTTTCGATCCATTGTTGATTGAATATCTCATCCCCCCCCACACACACTCTATATGATGCAGCAAATTTTTTTATTTTGAATCTCAATCAAATCAAATCATATCATCATCATCACAAATATTTAATCTTCAAAAAAAAAAAATAAATCAAGAGAAATAAAATCGGATTGATAAATAAAACTACTTTATTAATGAACAGATTAACTAACTAACTAACAAAACTATATGATGATGATTGCTTAAACTTGGATAAACTGATTTTTTTTTCGTTCCATAATGATTATGATGATGATGGCGATGATGATACAAACAGTATGGACTTTTTTGGAACGTGTTACACTTACGTACATTGTGAACAAATGATACATTTAGCCAAAAAAAAAAATAATTATTTTGAACTCGAATAATTTCCAAAAAAATAAATGAAAATGAAACATCTATGTGAATGAATTATGATAATTTAGGGTCAAAGTTTATCACATTACTTTTGTTTTTCGGTTCAAATCATCTATTGTGTGAATCATTGTCCATGGAGAAAAAAAACGTTTGATTTTTATTTTTTTTTTTTTTTCTTCTAAATCAATATCATCGACCTTACCAGTCCAGAAGACATCAGGAAGTTTATTCGATGATCAATTTGTTTGTTTGTGTGTTTGTGACGACCCATTTGAATTGAAATATATTTATATAGTAAATGTGTGAATATCAGATGCTTCCAAAATAATAAAATCGTCTGTTTATTATTTGCCAGTGTGTGTGTGTGGGCCTAGATTTATTATCATGTAAATGAAATGAGATGTTTTTTTTTCTTCGTTTTCGTTTGTTGTTTTAGTTTCCAAATGGATGATCCATTTGGAAGTTGGAGTCAAGTCTATGTTTGTGTGTGTGATATATATCCCACCATTACGTCTCTTCATATATGATGATGATAATGATGAATATGGAACACTTCGCGCCATCAATTTGTTGTTTTTTCGTTTGTCCCAAAAATGACCGATATTAATCAATTTTTTTGTAATAATAATAATGTAAATTCTCAGTGCTTTACACATTCCATTTATACACTAAACATTTTCTCGTTTTGTGTTTTTTTTTGTTGATTTATTCCATCTATTAAAGGCGTGTGTGTGTGTATGATATTTGTTTTGACACACCTCTTGATCATCATCATCATCAAGAGTCTGAATTGTGTATATAATGAGATTATATCGATATGACGATATAGTCATCATCATTAATAATAATAAAATATGGCCAAAATGTCAATGATGTGATTGATAAATGTGTTGAAATCACAAATCGATCAGAAACAAAACATGATTATTCCATTTTTTGTGATTTTGCCATCATCATCATCATCATAATCAGCATCAAATTGATCATCATTGGCATTGCGAAATGATTATAAAGAGAGAGTAAGAAAGAAAGACAAATCAATTTAGCATAATCGAATAATCAGAAGAAGAAGAAGAAGAAAAAAAAAAATGTTAGTGACATCGACATTGATTTCTACATACATACCTGTCCAATGAAATGAGCTGAAATGGAAAAACAAAATTTCACACAAAATCAATTCATTTTAAAATTAAAAAAAAACATCAATAAAAAATGAATGATTATCATCATCATCATCATCATCTGTTTTTATCTTTCCATTTTTATTCACTATTTGTTTGACGCTGGAACTTAGTTTTTTGTTTTGTTTTTGTTTTGGAGGTCATTTTTCAATTTCAACATTGAATTTTTCATTTCTGTGAAATCAAAAAAAAAAAAAAATGATGTGATGCGATTTTTGTTTTTCTTACAACGATGTGGCAAATTGAATTCATTTTTGTTAAAGGATTAAGTAATCATTGTTTTAGTAGTGGTGGTTTCAAACATTTCAAAACATGATACATATTCAAATCGATCCAAATGATTTTATAATTTGTATTTCTTTTTTTTTTGGTGAAAAACGAAGCAAAATCTTGTATGTTTCAAAAAGTATTTAATATGCAAATTAATTTCTTTCAGTGCGTGTGTGTGTGTGTGTGTTCCATGACAAAATAAATGTCATCAAAACATTTTTTTTTGCACATTAATCCATTATTACCGTTATATTGACAAATGATCAAATGAATTGATAGTATAGCATGATCATAATCACCCCAAGTAGAAGTAGTTTCCTGTTTTTCATATTCAAGATTTTTTTTCCATTCATTTTGAATTGAAACTACCAAAAATGAGAAAAGATTCAAATATTTGATTCGAATGATGATGATGATGATGATGATAATGAAGATGGGAATGGTTTTCCATTGAAACACAGAGGGAGAGAGAGAGAGACAGAGAAAGGGGATAGGTGGGGAGGAATTATCATTACTGTTATTTACACTGAATTTATCGAAGAAAAAAAATATTATTTATTCATTCAATAAAACTCTCATTTTGTTGTTGTTGTTGTTTTTTAGTTTCATTGCATTATACAAATGTTCTGTCTGTGTCTGTGTGTGTGTGTTTTTGTGTGTTCATGAAGATGTTGATGATGGATCAAAAAGATGGCCGATGGCCATTATAAAAGCCATGGACATCAAAATTTTTACTCATTTTTTTCCACTGTTTCATCACCGTAAAACACACACATTATATTCGTTAAAAAAATGATGCTCAAGGTAAATTTTTATTCTTTTTTTCCGGTTTAATTCGATTCTTGATTGATGGATTTTCAATGTTTTTTCTTTTAATTTTATTTCATCAAAAAAAAAAAAATCAGATTGTCATCTTATCTGCCATAGTTGCCTTAGCTAATGCTGGTAACAAAATCAAATATAATGCATTGACCATCGGTGATACATTGGCACATCCTGAAATGGAATTTGAACTTGGTGATCCAAAACCATATGATTGGAAAAATGAACCAACACCAAAACCATATGTGAATGAATTTAAAATTGCACAACCACTTGATGATGCTGCTCGTCATGCTGAACCAGAAATTCCACAACCACCGCAACCATTTTCATTTGGTTTCTCATCAATGGCCAATGATGGTACACAATCACGGCAAGAAACACAAGATGCTTCGGGTAAAGTTACCGGTTCATATACTATTGTCGATGCTAATGGTGCACAACGTATTGTTGAATATTATGCTGATGATACTGGTTTCCATGCTAATATCAAATCCAATGAACCTGGTATTGAACAAGGTGAACGTGCTGGTGCTACTTATGAAAAATTATAAAGAAAATATAATTTTTATTATAAATAGAATTTCTAACTAAAAAAAAAAAAAAATTCAAATAAAAAAAATTTAAAACATAAACGAACTGATTGCCATCTATTGTTGAGAATTGGCGTTTGTTACACACATGTGTGATAAAAACGAATTTTAGTCTTGTTTTGTTTTGTTTTTTCATTATGACAATTACAAGCAAATCATTTATGGAACAAACAAAAGATCCATTTTGAACAGATCAAAAAAGATAGAACTGAAGAAGATTTGAAAAATGGTGTATTGCAAAATTATTTTTTCAAATCGAAAAACAGTGCTACAAAATCTATCGATGCTGATAATGATAGTAAAAAAAATCCACCAAAGATGGTGATCATGGTGGCAAAAAAATGCAGAGGAAAAAGTTCCACTGGTGGTGATGGTGGTACTGGTAACGGTGGTGGCGGTGCAACTCAAAGAAGAGAAGTGAAAACAAAAGCAGTCAAAAAGAAATATAAACCCGGTCAAAAAGGACAAAAAATGGAACAAGAACCAGATGATGCCCGTATTAATGAATTGGAATTCATTCCAATGGAACAAATAATCGATGTTTTGACTGAAAAACTAACTGAAGATGTATCGAATGAATTTATTGAATCGATTGCTGAATCAATATATGAAGATTTACGTAAATCATATGAATCGTATGCAAAAGAATTGTTCATTACACGAAATGCTGAAATGAATAAATCGAAGAAAAGTTTTGCTGAATTACAGTGTTTTGTCAATTCAACATATTCAAAAATATTGTTATTCAATAAAACAAATGAATTTATTGGTGAATCATCAAGTCAAGCATTCAAAGATTTACAATCCAGATTGAATAAACATTTATTACGAACATTAGCAACAGATATTGTCAATGAATTGATTTCATTTTTCAATGAAGAATTGTTATCGGAAAATATTTCACATGAAGCTCGTACGAAAATTATCAATAAACTTGATGTGGAATTTAAAAATGATTTTCTCAAACTAAATGATTCACTGAATTCAAATGAAGTGAAAACTTTCATCGATGAATTAGACGAATGTGCCGTTAAAATTGATATGATGATCAAAAAAATTGATTCGAAAAAAGAGAAATCAATATTGTCCGAACATCAACAATCACTTTTGTTACAATTGAATGAATGTCAAGATTCTATTCTTTGTTTACATATTCTTGTATTGCTTGTATTTCAAATGGTTCATCATCATATGTTACATGCAAGTGGAAAATTTGTGCCACAAATTCTACAATTTCTACAAAAAGATACTAATGATGAAATTTATCAGCTAATTAAACAATGTCAAGATTATGTACTGCAATTTAAGGCCACCAAAGATGATCAGGCTAAATTGGATATAAAGACTAAATTGAATGAATCAATTGGCCATTGTAAACAATTGTTGAATGATTTTATTGCGAAAAAATTATCATTAAGAATTGTTGAAAATAAATAAATCAAAATAAAAATTTTAAAACAATTGTAATTTTTATTACCCGATAGATGGCAGTAAATTGAGTCATTATACTTTATTTATATATAACATGTGGTTTCGAGACATGTGGTGTTTTTTTTTGTCGATTGAATTACAATGACCATGATGATTGTACCGGCTTCATCATCATCTCGAAATCATAAAATTCTTGATGAATATCAACAACAATACAATAGGTCGACAAATCAATCAAATATGAATGGAAACGATTACTTTGATCAGGTAAAATTTAGCATTTTTCAATTGTTTTGATTGTAATTTGTATTCGATTCATTTTTAGATATTCGAATCTAATGATCATCATAACGACCATTATCAAATGATTCACATCGAAATGGATGAATTAGAAAAACTTTTTGATAATGTTGAATCGAAATTTGATTCCATCTCGGAACATATCGAATCGTTGATTATGAATTCCATTCGGCAACAACAGCAACCATTCGATTGTCAACAAGTTGAACAAACGCCGGCTCGATCGAATGTTTTATCTTTCGATCACGATTATTTCCATATTGATAACGGCGATGACAACGCGCTAGAATTTGTGGATCAATCAACCACTTCGTCATCGAAAGAGACACGTGATTTATGCATCAATCCTAAAGATTCTCTTATCACCATCAGTTATGACAATCCAAATGATGAAATTGACGACGATCATCTATATATCTACACAGAAAAAAAAGTGGTGGCCTGCGAGTACTCGCGATTTTGTGCAGTTGACAAATCTCGCCAAAATCGCGAGTACTCGCAAACGGCATACGACTAGCCGACTGACTATCGATATATCGATAGTCTACTCGCAATTTTCGCGAGTACTCGCGATTTTCGCGACCACCCGACTGACCGATTGTTTTTTCGATATATTGAAATCATCGATGGTGTCGCTCACCGATTGTTGCAGCAATTTTGACCCCCCTTTCATTCCCTTTACCCCTCATATTAATTTAATCGATATATATTGAAATTTAATTGATTTTATTGAAATATTAATTTATTAAAAATTTTAAATAATTAAATAATTTCAAAAACAAGACGTCTTATAACGATAGCCAATGCAGGTAAACATTGAATTTTCCATGTCCCGATAAAAGCTGAGAGAACACAAAATGTAGATCGATAAGAATTATTTTACGATCAGATGGAAAAAATCTTTTAGTAACTTTGCGATCTTCACTCATTATTTTTTTTTATTACGGAAAATGGGGGATAGTGTGGTTTTAAGAATATCGATATATTCTTCAGAATTCACACTATTGGAGCACAGTCTCAACTCTGATCTCCCACCATGCCTATTGTTAAGAAATAATTATTAAAACATGCTAAAAAAAAATCTTACCATATGGCCCCCCAAACCATCACACTGAAACCGTTAAAATTTATTAATTCGCATAAAAATCCAAATACGCGAATAATGAATTGGGCATTGAAATTGAATCAATATAATTATAAAATCGAATATATTTCTGGAAAAGAAAATACTGAAGCTGATTTTTTATCACGAAATCCAAGTTTTCAAATCAATCTTTTAACAATGGAACAAATTTCGGAAGTACAAGAATTTATTTCTACTCCACCACCACGTTGTGTTTTGTATAATGGATTTTATGTTCGATATACCGATAATCGAAGAAGATTATCGTATCCCTGTAAAAATCAAATTTACAGAATTAATCGTGGACAAAATTTAACAATCAATAAACAAACCGTTTATTTTACGAAAATGACAAATGGATTTACATCACATATAATTCATGATGATATAAGTGAGATCTTGAACTTTCAAGCATTTAATTCTTTTAATTCAACAATTAATTTGCATGATTTATCTACAATGATTGAAAAAGAAGATACACTTATTAACAAGATTATTTATTCATACATACAATCATATTATATTACATTTATATAATCACAATAATTTTGATCATATTATTATCAATAACAGTAATTCTCATTTTTTGTCAACACAACAAAACAGAAAATTATCGAAAAATTATCCAAGAACAATATCGATTAGCAGCTATTCAATCAAGTCGAACATAAGAATAAATTGAAAGTTGAACATGAAAATAAACATGAAAATGTAAACATAAACACAAATTCAGAAAAAAATTTAAATTGAAAATATTTCTTAAAAACATAATATACTATATGAACAACACCCGAAAAATTAAACACAATAAGAGTGGACTACACACATTTACGTGCATTTGTAAAACAAAAATTTTGATTCATTTCAAACCATTTCCTTTTCTCATTTTACTCAATATTTCATTTGTTTGTGTTTGTTGAATTTTCATGTTGCACCAACATTTTGACCACCATCACCATTATTTTGACCATCATCACCAAAATTATTTTGACCATCATCATCAGAATTATTTTGACCATCATCATCATTGGATATTTGTTCGATTAAAATTGCCGTGGCTTGGAGCCTCTTGGCTTGGTATGCCTGATTCTTCTTGTGATACACGAATGTGCGATAAGCATCGCTAAACTGAGAAAATCGACTTTCGTCGGAAAAAATTACTTTTTTCCAATAATCAAGAGGCATTTCAGCCATTTTATTGGCCCATAAACGACGCTTGTTTATGTTTTTCTTGGATAAAAGTGGTTTTTTTCTTGCTATTCTGACGTTATATTCGGTCATCTTGGTGTATTTCTGTACCGTATTTCTCGACACATCAAGATGATTCGCCAATTCTTTGCCTGTTATTGCCGGTGTTTTTTCAATTTGACGACCAAGTCTTCTCAATGTTTGCTCTGTTGGACCAGGCCGACCTGGTGGTTTGATGGCATTTGTCTGCCCATTTTGACGATAAGTCTTGATGATATGTTGAACATTAGACTTACTTCTCTCCACTTTTTCGGCTATTTTGCGGATACTCAGCCCGTCTTTGTGATATTGAATCACCATCCGTCTCAATACCGTCTTTTCTAGTTGTTTATCCATGTTTTTTTTGATTGAAAATTAAAATATATTTTTAAATATAAATATATGAATGAATGAAAAAACAAATAAATAAATCAATTGATGAATAAATCGATAAATGAATGATCTAATGAATTAATCACTGAATAATCGTTGGTTTTCAATCAATTTATCCTTCTCTTTATGTATGCCTGCTGCAGTGCAATGAGTCATAAAAGTTCTAAAATTCGAATATATCATACAAAATTCAAAAACCTACAGCTTCGTGGCTGGTGAATAAGCGATGAGAATGGAATGAGGTGGCAAGCCTGATAGTGGATATAAAATCAGGTTGATTTGGGGGGGATGATTTTGTCTTTTTGTTTCAATCAAATAAAAAATTAATTTTTGGTAAATGAATTGGCGGCGAAGATTTGTTTTCATGAATATCGAAGAATTGAATTTGTCATGGTCCTAATAAAGTTAATCTCTAATTTTATATATAAAAAATTATATAAATCCATGTGGACATATTGTATTTTTGATCATTTTATGATTTGAATAGTCTGAGCTGTGCTTGTTAAATTGTATTTTCGTTTTTTTAATTCTAACCAACAATATGGTATGAAATAATCGGGTAACGCAACAGCTAGTTTCATATCATTGGAATTTCCTTTTCAAAATGTTTCTTAACAATGTATTTGAGCCGGACATGGGGATAATGTTTGTCGACAACCTTCGTTGTTACAATAGCAACGACAACGAAAATGTTTGTCAACTTCTTTGAAGGATGCAGTTGCCATTTGAAGTTCACCAAGACCATCTTCATCGTTAGTTGCATCGACATCCAAAATTATCATCAGAATTGCAAACAGATCATGTCTTATGAACGGATTCGATCAGATACAGAACTTGACAAAAGTTGCGTTCTCGATGTCAATGGTATAATAGTCGTTAAGATCAAAAATCGTTCAAATTATTCGGCTATTTTTTAGCGACTTTTTGTGTGGATATAGTCGGAGTACTCGCGAAAAATGCGAGTACTCGCAAAATTTCGATTGTTCGGCTATATACACTCAAATAGTCACCAAAAAATAGCCGAAATACTCGCCAAAATCGCGAGTACTCGCGCACTTTTTTTTACTGTGTATCTCTTTATGACGCTTAAATTTCCACTGTAAACTGCAATTTTTACACTCTGCAAGTATAAAAAACTGTATTAACTTGGCATTTGATGCGGGGAAGCCGAGCTGGACATTCCTAATTATTTTCAGTACAAACATAACTATTTAGTATGAGCTACTCAGTGTGTGTTGTGTGTGTGTGTCTGAGCATGCGGAAAAACTTTTGAATGCCGCTGAACAGTTCGTCCAGCTCAGAAGTAGAAGTCGCTTCCAAAGAAACGCATTCTGTGGTATGTAGCTTTGACAAAGCTTTTTTTCATTGTTCTAGCTTCAGCACACGTTGCTGCAGCTTTTGCATCCAATAGATGGTGCAGTCATTCAATAGAACATAGAAAGAGTTCGAATTCGAATTTTAGATAGTGACACACGTGATTTTCATTTTGTGTGCATTTATGAATATGATGAGCATATGATGAGTATATGATGAGTATGAGTATTGAAAAGTGAGTATTGTTTTTATCAATTCTAATTCTAATCTAATCTAATCTAATCATCATCATTTTATAATATTCCGAAATCGAATTTGAATTCGAATAATTTTCATTTCATTTCATTTGTTCATGTCTGCTCATCATCATCATCATCTCAAATCTCAAAACATTTTTTTCTCATTTTTTTAAATTGGTAAGTTATTACATAATACCTGATAGTAGCTGAAATTATTAATCAATCAATCAATTTTTTCAATTTTTCAATATCTACTATAATATAATATATTCCAATATTCTTCCAATGATTCCAATAATAATTCCAATAATAATGATAATGATGATATATATATAAAATCCGATTCCAATGTTCCTATGAATGAAAAAAAGATTGTAATGGATGATCATGATGATAATCATCAACAACAACAACATATTGATAATGATGATAATCCAAATCATCCATATTATCAATATTATCATCAATATTTCTTGCAATTGCAACAATCGCAGCAGCAATTACAAAACCAATTGTTGTTGTGGCAACAACAACAAGAACAGCAGCAGCAACAACAACAACGCCGACAACAACAACGACAACGGCGGCAGCAACATCATCGTCACAATCAAATTGTAAATGGTTTTATAAGAAACCTTTTTTTGTCGCAATTTCACAACAATAGTCAAAAAACAAAAAAAAACATAAAAAAAATAAAATATAAATAAATAAAATAAAATAATCAAATTGTCTTTCTCACCGAAAACATCAACAGAAACATCATCTAAACTGTCATCGTCGTATACATACTGGTGAACGGCCATATCAATGTTCACATTGTAATGATAAATTTCGCCATAAACATGTTCTTAACAACAAAAATTTTATTTATTCACTTCCATCTGTGATTCTTTTCTTTTACTTAAATTTTTTTATTTTATTTTATTTCTTTTTGACTCATTCCCTTGCATTAGTGAAGTGCAAACACCCTAGCGGGTGAAGCACTAATAATAAAAGTTATTATTATTATTATTTATTCACTTCTAACAAAGTCGAAACATAACAATAATAATCGGAAATGTTAACAACAAATAAATAAACAATGAAAAACTCAGAGATCGTCCATGATCTCCTCCAGGTCAACAGGGAAACCCCTATTGGCCCTGAAATCAATCAGGACACTCAACATGTTCTTAATAGACATATAAAAAACAAACATTCTGACGTTGAATAATTATAATTATATAATTTTTTATTCTTTTCAATTAAAACTTTGATGATAATTGTTACAAAACATTTACAATAGATGGTGCTGTTTGTGATGACATTATAAAAGGTGATGATGATCAACAAAAATAATAGTTCCTTTTTTCCCCAGTACATCATCATTATCATCACGCTTCGCGCCTGTCCAGACTGGGCCTGCGGGGCTGACTAATTGACGGTCATCTATTTGATGCAAAAGCTGCATCAAGGCGCGAAGCTAAACAATTAAAAAAAGCATTATCAAAGCTACATCTCACCACTTCAGAAACCTTTTACCGACAGATGGCTCTGAAAGCATTCTCAAAAAACACTGCTCAAAGGCATTCCCTACTGTTGGATGTATACATACAGACAAAATTTCCTTACTCTTTTATATTATACAGTAATACCCCGCTTAACGCGGGGTTACGTTACAAAAATTCTGAGCGTTAAGCGAAACAGCGCTAAGCGGGGCTATTTTTACATAATGCATTTTTACCCTTCATATACAATGTAACAATGTAATGTAATGTAGGGTAATTGTACAGCGTTATATCGAATCAGCGCTAAACGGGGCAGCGTTAAGCGGGGTATTACTGTATATACATATATACATATGTATATATATATGATGATGATATTATTATGGAAACAACCAAAGTGACCAATAATAATGATAAAACCGAACAAAGCCGTATTGATGAATTTAAAATTGATTACGATATCGTAAGTATCGGTGTTGTTGAATCGATATTTAATAGAAAAAATGGTACACCACGTCAATCGGGAATCTGTCCACAAAGTAAAGGCATCATTCGTATACATAAAAAATTATTCAATAATCCGTCACATCCATTGATCGGTATCGAAAAGTTTTCATATTTATGGATTATTTTCTATTTTCATGAAAATCGAAATAAACGTCGTTTCATTGCCAAAGTACATCCACCCAGGTTGGATGGCGCAACTTGTGGTGTGTTTGCATCACGTGCACCACATCGACCTAATCCATTTGGTTTGACAATTGTCAAATTGGATCGTGTGGAAGGTATTTTTTTTACTTTTTTTGAATTATATAAACTATGAACGTTTTCAATAATTTTCAGATGGATGTTTATACGTATCCGGTTTGGATATGATTGATAAAACTCCTGTAATCGATATAAAACCATACATTGTTAAATATGATTATCCATACGATGATTCGATAATCATTTCCAATCCATTCAATTCAAATATTGAACAAAATGAAAACCAAAAGGATTTTGAACCAGAGAAACCTATGATTCCTGAACAAAAAACTGAAAAACTTGGTTGGATCGATGGTGAAATTGTTAATGAAATTCAAGTGGATTTTACTGTTCGAAGCCTACAACAATTATCTTGTTTCCATCCGTATTCATTTCATGGGGACAATTTTTCACAATGTGATCATTGTTTTCGTTTATTTCATGATGAAAATGAAGCAAAAAAAGCAATCATTAATCTATTACAAGCAGATCCACGATCAGTTTATCGGCGAAAAAAATGTATAGATCGTTTATATTATTTTACCATAGATTCTATACATATAACGGCTTGGTTTGACATTGAAAGTGATATGGTTGAAGTGATAAAAATTAAACCATGGAATCCGACAAAAACAACTGAACAACAACAACAACAACAACAATAATAATAATTCAATCAATTTGGTTATCAATTCTACAAGAATATATATTATTTTTATTTTTTTTTATACAAATGATAATTCTATTATATTTAGGCATTTCGTATATATTGTGAATTATTGAACATAAATTGATTTTTCATTTTTGATTAACCAAAAAAAAGTAGTAGTAGTAGTAGTAGACAAAAAAAAATATCATCAAATACAAATAAAGATCAAATTAGAATCATATTTTTCTTTCATCTCAATCATCATTAGAATAAATAATTAATTACAATAGTTTTTTTTTGTTTCTTAAAAATTCAAACACGTGTTTTGAAAACGCCTACTTTTGTAAGCGAACAAACAACGTTGACTGAAACGATTCACATGTGGGTTTGTTTGTGTGTGTGTCTGTATGATACGTGTACAATTGGATCTTGATATTTTTTTTTCATTTTGATTGGAATTTATTATAGTGTTATTAAACTTTTAATCCACTTTGACAACGCTATAGATTTTTCTTACGAACCATAAACAGGCAAAAAATCCAACCGTACCGGTTAATAAAAAGAATAAGAATACCATGATTAATGTATAGCCAAAATATAATAATGTCGATATTGTTCCGGTTATGGTTAGTTTGGTTAGAAAATAATGAATACAATAAACGAACAAATAGAATGATGTAAAGCCAGATGTTAGAAATGATCGCCACCTGTATATTTATGCAAATATAAAAATGTCAATTTTTAAAAAATACAATTTTAAAATCTATTTATATTTATACATACCACCAATGATAATCTTCAGCACATAGATGAAAATAACACAATAGGATTGTTGTTTCTGAACAGGTAATTATCAATATGATAAATACTAGAAACAAGAATCCAAACATATAATAAGTCTGATTTGACCATAAACTATTCAATAAGAAGAATAATTGAATAAATATACAGCCAAATGGTAATATTCCACCCATTATAATACCGGGCAATGGTTTAGTATATACGGATTGTTCCGGTATCTGTCGTGGAATCTGATTTGTTCGAACCGGTTGTTCAATTGCACGTTTACGGAAACCAAAATAGGCTCCAACAAATGTTAATGGAAGTGATACCAAGAACCATAAAGCCAATAAAGCAATCAATGTTGAGAATGGTACTGCAGCCGAGCTACCTTTGATCCATAATATGATGTTCATAACGAAAAATAATGAAAATACAATGCCTGGACATAAAAGTGATGTTAACAGAACGTTCATTTTCCAACGATAACCACCACATGATTTGTAGATGCGTGCCGAAACATATCCGGCCGGTGTACCAAGACAAACATATAGTATGAGAGCACAGGTCATCAATGCACCACGATTAGCTGGTGATAAAAATCCAAGACAAGCGAAAAACAATGTAATCACTGTCATACACAAAACTTGAACACCAGAACCAAGAAATACTGACAACAGCATACAATGTTGAGGGGAACGAAATATATCTCCATGAACTAATTTCCAACCAAATTCTTCTTGAGCATCATCTTCAAGATCAATTTGATTATATCGAGCAATATCTTTATGAAGGGTACGTAACAATATCATAGCTACCATACCGGTTAGAAATAAAACAATGACCAATGAATTAAGAATTGAAAACCATTGAATATTCGTATGTGGCATTGAATCAAGAATATAATCCCATCTTGATGACCATTTTATATCATTATATTTAGTAAAATACACTGAATATGTATAATAGACATCGATTATTTGATCTTTACTCAATTCATTAGGAATTTCCATCGGTAATGGATTTGATGGACAATCGGATGGTGTTTGTGGTTGTTGTTTATGTTGTATACTTTTTGGTACAATATTCACAGCAATAATTCGACCACCATGATCACCAAAACCAACACCCCAGGCTTCATTTTGACCACTATGAAATGTAATAGTTATATCAACGTGATTGAACAGATAAAATGTATCTTTTTTGTTGAATAATATGTTCATTACGCAGGCATCTTTAGCGATGCCTTCTTTATCCACATAACAGCCCATAGGAAATCCAGTTGAACAATATTTCTGTCCACCAAAATTATCAACATTATAACACCATGTAACGGGCATATTGTCCACAATCCATCGATGTTGATAATTTTTCATCATACCTTTTTTCAATGCTTCTAATTTTTCAAAATCTTCACGTTTCGATGTATCATATTGTTTATGGCATAGAAATTTACATTGTTCATTTTTCAGAAAACTTATATTATATGGAGAAGCTCGAATACGTTCACCAAATACAATTTGGCCAAGATTTTCAACCGGTGCTTCATTTTGATTGATTGCTTGACAAAAATCAAAATGAGAATATTCATATGGTATAACAGAATCTTCGGAATCTAAACGATTAACAAATAATTTAACATCCGAACGACAATTATCGGCCGGTTTATTGAATTCACAATAATTAACCGGTGCTAAACCAGGCAAATAAAATGCCCAAGATACATTTGCTAGAAATATCAATGTGATCGTAGTCGTCAATAATAATGATGAACGTGTACATGATTCAAATTTTTCTCTTATTATCAGCATTATAATTTTGTTGTTGGTTTTATAGATTATCTTGCAGCAATAACATCAACAAGTTGTTACTTTTGAACATTGATGAGATGGATGAAATGAAATAGACCAAATGTTTAAAATCTGAAAAAAAATTCAAAATTTCATTACCACACTTTGTTTTAATTGCAATGAGATGATACATACGATAATCTTTTCGTTCTAATAAGGATCAATGGAATTATTAAATGGCAACCGTAATCAAATCAATTACAATAATAATAATGATGATGACGAATGCCACAATTTATGAAAATGGAGTTTAGAAAAAAAAAAATTTTTCTGTGTAAATGACACACACACACATATATCAACCAACAAATCGACAAACAAACAAACGATGATGATGATTTGGATAATGATGATATGAGCCTTATACTTGATGAGATTGGCAATCGTTGATTATAATTATAATTCCAATTGTAATAAATAATAATCATCAAAAAAAAAACTTAAAGAGAGAAAATTAATAAAGACACGCCATACATCACAACCAAATGTACAACAACACACAGAAACATTCTATTTAGGCATTTCAATAATACTCCTCACACACACACACACACACAAAAAAAAAACAATATACACGCACAAACATACAACGTGGATCATTAATAAAGGACGTGTCCAGTGGATATATTCTGTGATTCTTTAAATGTCAAAAATGTGTGCATGGCCTTTTCTTTTTTTTTTGTTTTTACATTTTTTAAAAACTTTTATTTTAATCTCAAAATGTAGTAAATTTGAATCAAAATCATCATCATCATTAAAGATGATATGTAATTTTTTTTTTTTTGGAATTAAAGTAAAAAGAAAACTTTTTGAAAAAAAACATGGAAGAACAATTTTGTTGTATGGAGAAATTCGTTTTCATCACAATTACAAATTAATCTCGTTGATTATATTCATTTGACATTTTGATAGCAATCAATAAGTTCTTGAACATCATCACGTGATCCAAGAAATACGGGCACACGTTCATGAATTTTTGTTGGTTGATGATCCAATATTGGTATGTGTCCAGTGGTTGCTAAACCGCCTGCTTTTTCAATAATATACGCCATTGGATTGCCTTCATACATTAAACGAAGCTGAAATGAAAAAAAAAAAAAATGCAATGAATATTACTGTTTTGTGACAAATAATTTCCGGAATAAGTTAATCAAAAAAAAAAAATCATTATCATTATGGACAAGATTCATGTCAAAGTATATTCCATAATCATCAATTACATTTATAAATAATTCTAATAAAAAGGAAATGCAAATCTGCCATTTTAACTCAATTGTTTGCCGTGGGAAACACCTCAATACTCATAATAATGATATATATAATGTCAAACTTCAATCATGATTATTTAATATGACAATCATCATGAATGAAATGAGAAAAAATCAATCTGAGAAAGTGGTCCTATTTATATATGAAAATGTAAATTTTACCTTGCCATTTGGTGCATCTTTAGTGGCAGGATACATGAATATTCCACCATATTTCAATGTACGATGAACATCGGCAACCTAGTTTAGTGTGAAAAGAGACAAATAAAAATAAGATGATCTAATGATGATGATGATGATAAGGATTTTTCCATGTCGTGTGTGTGTGTGCATGTGTGTATTTATCGATCGAAATTAATTTGAATTATTATTATTATAAATGCACAAGATCGGTTCGGACCAATTCCCTATGGTCAACTAAATATATTTCACATGTGATGATATCAACAACAAAAATAAAAACAAACAAACAAAACAAAACACAAAAAAACAATCAATAATGTTGTTTGGTTTCATTCCATTATGAGTTTCAAACAATGACAAGATATAATTTAATTTGATGATTAACAACCTTACACTATTACTACTACTACTAACTGTCTGGCGACTTTATCATTTTGGTATTTGCTATATTTGTTTCCAATGAAAAATTGTTCAGATTTAAATATGCCACAAAGCTAATAAAAAATGATGCAAATGATTCTATCATATACAATCATTATCGTTGATGATGAATGAATGAATTTTTTTTTTTTGCTAGCCTTAATGATCAAAATGGTAGTTGAGTGGAAAGATAAACAAATGAATGAATGAAAACAATAAAATAAAACAGCGCCCGGAATGAATGAATGAATGAATTTAATGATGATGATGGTGGTAATAAAACAACAAACAAACCATTGAACCAACATAACGTGCACCATATGATTTACCAGTCTGTTGCGGAAATTGAAGATAATTAATTCACACATTTATCATCATTATGGATTGATTGTTATTTATACCGTTGGATGTTTTTTAGCATTGACATATTTTTTAACAGCTTCATCCCATTGTGATTCATAACCTTCATTAATGCTATAGATTTTACCACGTGATTTAATTCTCATATCTGGATCGGTAAGAACAAATTCACCGATTGCCTATTGAAAAAAATGGAAAAATTTTTTGAAATGAAAAAAAATGAGATAAAAAAATCTCGCACTTACCGGATCAAGAAGAAATCCATTAACAGGTCCACCGCCAGCGCTCAATACGATCATTGTTGCACTGCCGTATAGCGCATAACCAGCAGCAACTAAATGATAATGATCAGGATCATTTAGCGAAAAAAAAAAAAAAAAAAAATCAAAATTTGAATTTACCAATTTTTCGTCCTGGCTGCAATGCATCATTAATTGCAGGAGCATTATTATGGTCCTTTTATATATATGCACAAACGATGATCATATGATGATGATAATGAATGAAGAAACAGTGAAAAAAATATTAATTAATAACGATTACTTAGTATGAATAAATTATCAAAAAAAAGAGATGAATAAGATTTTATATGAAAGAAAAAGTTTCATAATTGGAACGAAAAGTGTGGGTGTATGTGCGTGTGTGTGTGTGTATGCAGATTGTGCATCTTAATTATTAAGATTCAATATTCAGAATCAAGAATCTATACCGCAGACTATATGTATTGGTATGTGTTGGTTATACAAAGGACAAATCAAGGTGATATTAATTTTTTTGGCATTAAACACATCGATAACATGATCGAATGTTGTTTTTTTGTGTCGACAAGTTTTACCATTTTTCTACCTGATAAAAAAAATCAAAAATCATTGATATCAAATGATAAATAAAGGCTAGGAAGTTTTTCTCTTTATTCAATCGAAAATTGCATGATGATCAAATGATATTGATTCAGAAAAAAATTGAGAATTTGTGTTCCACACAGGATTTTTTGTTTTGTTTTGACTTTGCATGACTATTCAAAAACTAACAAATAATAATAATTCAACCGTAGAACAAAAAAAAAAAATGGTCAAGAATTGACCAGAATCATAATCATAATAATAATGGCACGCAATATTGACAAAATTATCATTATTGCAATTGTAGCAATAGATTGGATTCTAATATCAAATTCTACTATTTGATTGCAATGATATAAGAAGAAAAAATTGTCAATGATGATCACCATTTGACCTTACACACACACATATTGTATCAAATAAATATTTCATCATTTTTCTGTTTTCTTTTTGTTAATATTATCGTCATCATCATCATTTCGATTGCAATTTTGTCCAATAATTTTTCTTTCTTTTTTTCTACGGATCTGAATGATCATTTTATCGTTCATTTTGTTTTTTCATTTTTTTTTATTTACTTTCATTTTCATCATTTTATGATGATTATGATGATGATGATTTTTACCTTTTTATAAATGGCAAATATTGAACCAATCGAAACCAAACAATCGATATTTGACGAACCATCCAATGGATCGAAACAGACAATATATTTACCTTGACGTTCGGTTTCCACTTCAATTACCGTTTCATTTTCTTCCGATACCAATAGACAAGTTGTATATGATGATTTAAGCATATTGATAAACAGATCATTGGCAAGTACGTCCAATTTTTTTACCTCTTCACCTTGTACGTTTGTCGATCCAGAAACTCCATATCTGATGAATAAAATTAAAAAATATGAATGAAAAATGAGATGTAAATTGTTCGTTTATTTTTATATATGAAAATTGTTGTTGCAAAACATTTTCATTGGACATGAAATTCATCAAAATTTTGCTTGTTTGTTCCAGTATTCAATAAATTACCGTTATTGTCATTTGATTTTCAATAAAATCATTCATGGTTCAATATATTTGACATTATCATTCAATTTAATTGAATCAAACATCACAGAATGATAATCAAATCATTTTTTCTATATCGAAACAAAACAAAACAAAAATAAAAATAAAAATCTATACAGCCAAAACACATTCCGCAGAATTGAAGGAAAAAAAACTACCGAAAATCGAACGTGATGAAAATAAACGATCAAAAAAAAATGTCCGAAACAGAAAAATTCCGAGAATATAAAAAAAAGAGAAAACAAATTCATTCACTCATCATCATCATCATTTGAAACACATCAACACACATTGGGCAAAAAATATTATTTGTGTGCATCGATGAAATAGAAATCAAAATGAAAAAAAAAACACACACACCACACACACCACACACAGAGGTCAAACAGAATAATTTTGCCTACAGTTACAATGTTTGAATTTCAAATTAACTTTTTTTTTATTTGCTTTTGCTGCTGACAATTTGGTGATTTTCAATTTTTTTTTTTGCCAAACATGAGAAACAAAAAGTGACCAATTTGTCACCATTTGTGCACGCTAAATTCAATTCAAAATTGAAGTGAAAAAAAAAGTTTCAGAAACAAAAAATACCAAATTCACCTGAAAAAAAAAAATTTAGTTTGTTTTTTTTTGTTGTTGTTGTTGAATTTGGGTTGTTTGAATACAAAACTTGGAATTCTCGGTTTTTTTATATAGTCAAGTGAGGATATTGAAAAATTCTAAACGAATCGACAAAAATCCTGCATATGTCAGGTGATGCGTGTGTGTGTGTGTGTGAGTGATTGTTTTTGTCACACACAGAGACAAAAACGGAAATGAAAGTTTGTCTTTTTCAAATAGAAAAAAAAATTCATTTCGTAAAGTTTCAGAATGAAATGAAGATTTCTACATTAAAAACAAGAAGAAGAAGAAGAAGAAGAAATGTCATTTAAAATTCAATAAGATGGGTAAACAGAGAAGAAGGAAATTCACGACATTGAATCATCATTATTATTGAGAAAAAGTTTTACGATCTACCTTTCCGATGGCTAAATATATTGTGTGAGAACAAATGTCGAAAGCGGGCAAAAAAAAAAAAAAAGAAACACGGAAATCCAGATGTGAATATATACCAGATGAGAAAAGTTTTTTTTTTTTGAAAATAAAATCACATGCTGTGTATATTTCAAAATAGAAAAAAAAACAACGCTAATTATTGAGAATCAAAGTTGAAACTCCATGTGTGTGGTTTTTCTGTCATCATCATGATTTGGTAACTGTGGTGAAAAAAAACCAATGACAAACTGAATACTGGAATTCAAGAATTTTCTCAGGCAATCTTTTATTTTTTTTTCTTGTTGAAAAAGTAAACAGCCTGCCATTGGCATCTTTTCCTGTTGAAGATGGTAATACATCTTCATCCATGACATTCATCATTCATTTGACAATTATTACATCAAGATTCTGGAAAAGTTTTACGGAAAAATTAAAAAATTGATTAATTGAATAATGATTATGATGGTCAGAATATAATGAAATGGACATGGACAAGAATTTATCATTAGTGGAAAGCCGAAAAAAAACTTTTTCATATTTCATATTATGCAAATCTTTTTTTTTCATCCGAATACAAAACGAGCATGTCAGAGCATTCTTTCGTTCTTAAAATGGCTTATTCGATTTGTGTGTGTGTGTGTGTGTTTGTTTGTGACTGAATCGCCGAAAAAATTCAAATATTCTTCATTCATTTCATAACTACAGAATCCGCCGAAACGGTTAAAAAGCCGGTTATGATTTATTCATGTTTTCATATTCACTCTCTCTCTCTCTCTCTCTATGGTTACTTTATCAGTTGCCAGTTTTTCATAAAATTTTGGCGTCATCGCTGTTGTTGTTGTTGTTTTTTAATATCAAATTATTATTTTTTTTCACCTTGTTACAATCATCATTCATATTAGTGGTTTGAACATTTGAAAAAGAAAATAAATAAATAAATAAAAAAAAATGAAAACCGATTTTCAATTATCAAAACATAGACATTTCAACAAGCAGCTGTAAGCCGTATGTTTTTATTTCATTTGAAATTTTATTCTGCTCCTGGATCCTCATATATTATAATTGGATGAATCTTTATTCTGTCATTTTTATCTAATTAACAAACAGCAAAAAAAAACAATGATGAACATAAATTGATAAAAATAAATATAAGAAAATGAAAAACGAACCATTTTCTTTAATTTTGTGACTGTGTGTGTGTGTGTTGTGGAGAGAGAGACACAGATAAAATTTATGCATTCAACAGCGAAAAAAACAACAACAACAACAACAACAGTAATGACAAGAACATGTTCGTATTTGGCTTCTGGTTCATTTTTCTTGTGTTTATTTGTTTTCATTTTCTTTTTGTTTGTTCATTAGAAACGGTTGATTCTAATATATGCTAATCATAATGGTTCATGTTCTTTAGCAACAACAACAACAACAATTTGTGAAATGAATTTTTGACTCATACACACACATACGAAACCGATTCAAATATCAAACCGACAGACTACTAAACAACACACACACACACACACACACACAGAGTCATTATTATTGTTGTCGTCGGTATCTTGTTCGTTTGTTATTGTCGTCATTTTTGTTTGTAATTCATTTTTTTTCTTTCTCTCTCTCTCTTTTCAAATTCATTTACTTGTCATTTTAATTCATATTCTTGGAAATTATTCTCATCGTGGTACAGGGGAAAAAAAATTATACAACCACCACCATCACCACCACCACCAAATGACAACAACAACAACGACAATCAAACCTGAATTGAAATACCAAACAAAAAACCACTTAATGAATTGTGTTGTTCATCAAGCCAAAGGCTCTATTCTATGCGAACATTATGTTGTTGTGTTTTTTTTTAAAAAGAAAAACCGGATTCATCAGAATTTTTGAAAGAATCAAAAAAGAAATTGAAGAAGGCAAAAAAAAATTGACCGCCAAATATACAATATATTGTGTGTGTGGTCATCCATTCATTAATAACACACACACACACACACACACCATTAAAAATGTACGCCTCATCAAATTCTATCAATGTTTATCATTATCAAACTGCATATATTCTATATTCTAGAAATTTTTTTTTTTTTTTTGAATCTCATCCATTCATTATCTTCATTGTGTGTGTGTGTGTGTTTGGCAATATTATTTTTGTTCATGGATCACATTTTTCTCCACCTTTTTCTTTTTCTTCATATCCATGATCATAATTTGTAATATTGGTGATGGTGGTGGCAGTTTTTTTGATTCAAATAGAAAAAACTACATGATCATCATCTACGTCGTCGTCGTCGTCGTCTTCTTGACTATCATCGTCATTTGTGGTTGATGATGAAGAATTATTTTACTTTACTTTACCGTTCAGTGATTACCGTTAATTATTAATAAGAGTTTCCTATCTATGTCTATGATTTTCACTGGAATATTTATGTTTGTATGTATGTGTTTCATATTTTCTAAGGACAAAAGAACCAAAAAAAAATCCGTTACCATTTGGTTCACATCGTCAATGAAGAAAAAGAAGACAAAAAATTTCGTTTTTCATTTCACATTTTGTATTTGTTTGGATCATCATCATATTGTGAAAAAAAAACAAAACAGAAAACAATACTTACAATCTTGCAATACCGGCTTTACGTACGGCTGATGATACGGCTTTGATTGCTGTTTGTAATGCATTCAATAATGTGGTCAATTCACCAGTAGCATCTTTACGTGATCGTTGTTCAGTGATTACATAACGTGTTAATGTCATACAATTTGTATCGATTGGTTGAGCCATTTTTTCTTTTTGGTTCAAAATTCAAACAAAAAAACTACGGATTAATGACAACAAAAAACAATTCCAATCAAATAACAAGTAAGTCGATCAGTTTTTTTAAGGAAAAATCATCAGCACATTTTATTTTATTTGATTTCAATATATCGATAATCGATTGATAATAATTGTTATAAATATGTTTAATATATGGTGAGTTTTGATATTCACATACACCAACACACATTTTCTTCGTGCTTTTTCTTCATCAATGATCATCAATGGCATCGCTAATGAACTTTGGATTTGATGATAAACAAGCAAACACACACACACACACACACACACACACTTGTTTGACTAGTTTTTTGTTGTTGTTTTTATGTTTGGCCATATTTCTGGTTTATTCATCAGTTTCAATACTACTCACAAATATATTTTTTTTTATCGATGTTTCTCATCATCTTCATTATCAACTATTGTATTTCAATGTTGGTGGTGGTGGTAGTTGTGTGTGTGTGTGTGTGTGATGTATGTGCATTGTATGTGTGGATAAACTAGATTTTTTTTCAATGTCATCATGGCTAAATTTGCTGTATGATGTCTGTATTTGTTTGTTGTTGTTGTTCAAGTTATTTTTCCATTTGTTTTATCCTTTTAAATATATTCAATATATGGTAATTATGATCAATATAATCTATAATCACATTATATCAATGATATGATGATCGTATAGTTTTAAACGACCATATAACTGAATCGATTATTACATGGAATATGGATGAATGAATATTTTTTTTTTGAGTGTTAGCTAGAGAATCTTGCTGTTTTTTTCTCTGCGATTCAATCAAAATTATCATATTATTATTATTCTCGTGGAAACGTTGTCTTAGTTTTTTTTCCCAATATGTGATCAATTATTCAATCATTTTTGTTTTTTCTTTTGCACTGAAAACAATCTAGACAGATTTGAAAAGCTTTTAACATACTCAATCATCAATAATGATGGCAACAATGAAAAAAAAAAAAAAAAATGTTATGGAAATAAGCTTGTTGACAGTGTGTGTGTGTGTGTGTGTGTGTGCTAATCAAATTTACATTACATTTTCCGTTATTGAACTATAATAATAACCACTTAATGTGTTGTTGATGTAACAAAACAGCAGTAGCAGAAAAAACGATAGAAAAATGAAAATGTTTTTTTTCATTCTCAGCTGTCAAATTTTTTTTTTTTTGAAGAAAAAGTTCCAATGAATTATGTCAGAATTGAAAATAAAACTGTTGACGAATTTGATTGAATTTAATGAAATTCATGTTAATATGTTGAATGAATATGTGGAAACAAAAATTCAGTTGTTAGTCATTAGTATTGGGTTTTTGGAGCATTTACGATGAAAAACACAAGAAAAAATGAAAAACTTGAACTTTCATGATCGTAAAACACTATTCTTGATTCTTGATTCTTTTTTTTTGTTCCATCGATATCAAATTTTTTTTCACGGTCTTTAAATTTTATTTTTAAAATTTTTGTTGTTGTTGTTGACCATTAATAATAATGGTCGTGGTTTTTGTTTGAAAATTTTTGATATTCGGCTTTTTTTTTGTTCGTGTTTCGGCCGTTTTTTTATGGCCGAAAAAAATATTCATTTAATATGGTTGGCCTTTGTGTGTGTGGTCGTATGGATTTTGGTGAAAAACACCCACACACACACACATACCAAACATGGGATTTTCTACTCAAAATCAATCACAACAACAACAACAACAACAACACAAACACCTAATGACGTCCGGAATCTGAAAACAAAATAGAGCAAGTGACCAGCGAGAAAAAAATCCCATTTTTGAACGAAAAAAAACAAATGAAAAAAAATTCATAAAATTCCTGCATCAATGTTACATTTGGTTTTTTTGTTTCTGGAACACTTCATTTTCTTTTTCTTTTTTTCGAAAAAAATCAAGTCGTAATCCAATTACACTTTTATATATATTCATTATTACTATTGTGTTCATCTTATTGAATTGTGGAATGTTTGTTTTCATATGTGCTTGGACACACAGTAGCTGAACATAATCCTGGACCAACAATTTTGGGTAACAACTACTTGAAAAGAAACAGGTACACTTTTGATTCGTCGTCATCAACGTTTTTTTTGTTGTTGTTGTCGACACGTTTTTATTGTTCTTTTTTTTCGTTGTTGTTGTTGTTGTTGTTGTTGTTGATGATGATGATGGAACAATAATAATGATAATGATAACAATGAAGGCTTTCAACAACAACAACAACAACATAATGATGATGATGATCATCATCATCATCATAGCAATACAATGGGATATAAAAGTTGCATTGAGATTTTCAGTTTTCTATGGCTAGAATTTTCATAAATGATAAAACAAACCGGATAATGCATACATCCTATATATATACAAATAATGCTTGGATAAAGATTAATGTCACGTTAATAGTACGGTAATGATGATATGATGATGATGATAATAATGACAGGATGACAATATGGCCATGATGATGAATAAATAAGTTTATTTTCCACTTTTGAAATACTAGATTTTTTTCTTGAATTTCTTAATGAATATCATCAATAATTATCATTGAAATGAATGAAATATGAAATCTATACAGTGGACACCCACACCCGCCCACAAACACATATACACAATAACGGTTGTTGAACAACCGAATGGACAATAAACGTTTTGTATTTTCCCAATCGAATATGATATCGGCCACATTTATACATTATATACACATACACTCAGGTAAAATCAGAATTACCCAAAACAAACGCCTTTATTGAGTCCAGATATTATTAGTGCAAACAAATAAAACCCCCAGAAGCGTTGAAGTAAACACAATGAATTGTTGTTCAATAGATTGATCGATCAATCAATTGATCGACCTAACCATTCATTGTTTAGCCTATATATTCCGGGGAAAACATCTTAATTTGTTTGCCAGCAAAAAATCACTGGAAAAAGTAAAGAAATCCAGCAGCGTTGATTTTCATCACATTTATTAATTTTTTTTTCCACATTGTTGGCCTTTTGTTTCTATAGAATCTTTTTTGTGTTTTGTTGTTTCATCATACACCATTAGCTTAAAAGACCATTGTCCAGAAGTTTTTTTTTGTTTGTTTGTTTGTTGCTGACGTCTATTTTTTTTTACAGTCTCAAAATCATAATCATAACAATAATAATGAATTGACAAGAAGATTCTTGCCTTCTATTGTTGTTGTTGTTGTTGTTGTTATTATTATTATTATTTGTTTCTCATGTAATGAGATTGTTGAATTTTTTTTTTGTTTTGCTTTGTTCTTGCTGTTATTGGTGTATTGTAGTAGGACGACTTACATATATGGATTGATATGCCTTATTAATGTGTCTAAACAAAATAATAACAACAACAACAACAACAACACGACAACAACAACAAGAAGTAGAAAAATCATCATCATCATCATTCAAATATAAACAAGCAAGCGTACAACAAAAAAGAATTGATTCTCATAGAATCCATCTATTGCATGTGTATGTATGTATGTATGTTGTAGCTCCAGGTTGTCTACTGGTTGTATGTCTGTTGGTTTTCAGGTTTTTTTTTCTTCCATTATTCTGTAGCAAAAGAATCGAAATTTTCCAATATTAATAGTGGTGAGAGAATTTTTTTTTATTTCATTTTACATCAAATAACTAATGTCATAGTATGGTATGGTATGTCATGTAGTGCTACTTTTATTCGACCAATGCAATGTATACCAGGAAAAAAAATTGATTCAGGTAAATCATAGTTAGCAGGCAATAGGCCACTGTTTTATATATTGAAAAATGTTCAGTTTTTTTTCGTCGTTGTCGTTGTTGTTGTTGTTGTTGTTGTTGTTTGGGTTGTGCGATGCTATTGTCACACACACACACACACAATGGTATCCAAACGGAAAAAAAATCGAAATTGAAACACTAAATCAGTTTTGTGTACGAAAAAATGGAGAGAGAGAGAGCAAGAAAAAAAAATGAATAAAAATGATATGTCCACAAACCATGAGAAAGTTTTTCGGTGATGTGAAAAATGAAAAATCGAATTTTACTAAACTTTCAGTCGGTTGTATGCACATACATCATCTTTGAATGATGATGGTGTTGGTGATGGTGATGATGATGATACCCAATGAATATACCTGAGATAGGTACATCGGACCTGGTAAAGTTTTCTAGGTCTGTGTGAATGTGGTGGTGGTGGTGATCTAAAGAAAGTTCGGAAAAAAATTGAAAAAATACAATGAATTCGGTGATGGAACAGAAAAAAAACGCCATTTAAGGAGGTGAAGCCGACCGATCACCCACGCACACACACACACACACACACACAAACCAGAATTGTACGGTTTTGTGTTTGTGGCCATTTTTTTCCAAGTTTTTTTTTTTTGGCAAATGATAATTTTGTGTTGATTTTTTTTCATTTTGTCTATGCGGATGACATTTGATGATCAAATTGTTTTGTATTCATTGAAGAAAAAAAAACCACAAAATTCCAGTTAATTGACCTATTGGCCAATCGACAAAGAAAGAAAAAAACTGTCCAAAGGTCAGTATTGAACATTTTTTTCTTGCACACACACACACTGATTTGTTTGTCCAATAATGGCAATTTTTGCACTTTTTTTTCTTCGTTTGTTTGTTATAAAACATTCGTTGATTTTTCTTCGTTTGTTTGTTGTGTTTGTTGTGTTAATTTGAGCATGAATAAAACAAACAAACAAACGAAAAAAAAATTCTTGTTTATTGCCAATTGAGAATCGATATCTTGATATTTGTCCATGAGAATGAGAGAAAAAGAATAGAATTCCAATAAAGTCAATGGTAATATCATTACCATCATCATCATCATCCCCGGAAAATGTAAATTCAATTTATCTTTCGATGCCTTTTTTCTACTTTTTCTTTCACCATCATCATCATCATCAGTATCATCATTATTCTTTCGGTTATTCTCGGTTAATTTGGATTGGAATTTTGAAAACTTTTTCGGCTTGTTTCGTTTTGGCTCTGCTTTTTGATGAGCTTTAATATCAGGCAATTGGTTCGGTTTGGCAAGTTTTTTTTTATATTCCTTTTTTTAAATGTCAAACAACATGACAATGTTTATGTTAACAAACAAGCAAAAAAAAAAAAAATTTGAAAGTTTGACCATCATGGCTATATTCAATTGGTTATTTATCGACAACCAAATTGCTAATGGAAAT